TTGAAACATAAACTTGGATAAAATAAACTCGTTATATATTATTAATTTAATTCGTTAATAATAATACATAGATACTTACCGCCACAAGTAACGTTAAATCTAATTTAAAGAAACCAGCAGCTGTAAATACTACTTCTCTTTTCGAAGATATTTGCAGTTGTAAAGTTTTCTGTAATAAAAATCAGTAATATTATCAGCAAATTATAATTTTAATCAACACTGAATACAATGATTCCTTCTGAAAAATTGAAATATGGAGGTTCTAACGTCTTTTCTAATAAATTTAATAGGTATCAAGTCACACCATCATAACAAATTATTCCACTTTGAAACTATGAGTATTTAAAATGATTAAATGTCACATATATATTGCATTCGAATATATAAAACAAATAATAAACGAACTAAACTTTTAATATGTGTGCATTTATAAAAGAACTTGTGTCTATGTACATATTTATGAACTGGATGATGTTGAATTATTATCACAATTTATATTAATATTATTATTAATTATATTTATTGTTTATATATTGCTATTTATATTCTTATATTGTATGTATTCGAATTTTGTATGGAGTTGGTATTTAGAATTATGTATATGTATGCTCATAATGTCTTGCGATTTATTTAATATTTATATTCATGTATAATTTTGGTCTTGAGTTATGAGAAGTGAATCTTGTTCATTTCATAGTACGATTTGTAATTAAAATGTTTGGCCAACCGGGCTGACGGGCAAATAGCCGATTCCTTAATGTGGGTAAGCTATACTGTAATATCACAAACATTTTTTTTTAATGTCAGATTTAAGTAAGGCATATTGTTATAATGTAATTTATAGGGGGTGTTTCAGGGTTAAGTAACCAAACTGCGAAAATGAATTAAGGATCTCAAAACAAGAAAAAAAAACACCTATGGAGACATGTCCGCATACGCTTTCTTAGGAGAAATTCACGGCTAAAGATTTTCGTTGTTATGGAATAAATAAAACCTATTTATTTGTTCTAACAACTTTATTAATAAAATTTAAACATTAAATTCATGTTAAATGTTGTTCAAAGTGATTTCCTTGAGCATTAAGACAGGCTCGGCATCTTTCTTCAACAGCAGCAGTGGCAGAACGGCACTGGATATGTGTTATTGTTTCACAAGATTCAATTATCCTTCTTCGTAAGGAATCGCATTGACCAGACTTGCCTAGAATTTTTGTTTAGTGCCACTCCAAAAAAAAATTCAGTGTTGTCAGCAGAGCGTGCAGGCAAAGCCACTGTTCCTGCACGGCCAATCCGTTGATTGGGATAGTTAACATTTAGGCATTATCGTGAACCTCTTCTGTAATGAATTTAATGTTTACGTTTACTTAACAAAGTAGTTGCAACAAATAAATAAGTTTTATTTACTTAATATAACCTAAATAATAAATAACAATGAAAATCTATAGGTGTGAATATCTCCTAAACAAAGCGTTTGTGTAAATACCTTCATAGGATTTTTTTTTATTGTTTTGAGGTCCTTAATTCATATTTTCAGTTTGGTAACTTAACTCTGAAATACCCTTCATAATCAAAATAAAGCGCAATATTATGAAAAAAATTTTTTTTTGCTGTACATAAACAGAAAACGTTTCAACCAAAACAAAAATAAATTAACAATTATTTATAAAATTCCAGTGACCCTAATTATTTACTAATTTTAGTATGTTTAAGACGGAGTTTGAAAAATGTTGGCACGTAACGTAATATTTACAAGATAGAGGTGAAGTTTTTATTTATTTTTTTCTGGACGGTTGAGAGGGTCGTATAAAATTAAAAATACAGAATGCTTTATTTAATAAAATGATTATCTAAATTAATTAATATAAAGATTATCTATCGTTAATATTTATAAATTCTACAATAGTATACAATCCACTATAGGGTTATTTTAGAAACTGTAGGTAAGACTAAAATATATTTATTTATCTTTACCATAGCTAATGTGGTGTCCATTAATGCTACTTTCTACTCCATATTCACAAATATCCCTTTATCCCTTTTCTATTTATCCGGACATATTGAAAAAATAGAGAACTTACATTATTCAATAATAGGCCAGTTTCGTCACACAGCATCAGCTGATATAGTCTGCAATTGAACTCCTTAACCTGAAATTTAAAAATAACTCCATTCATTTTTCCAATTTTTCTTTCATGAAGTTCTTTTGTTCATAAACCTAAGGCCGTTTCTACACCATTGCTTTATTAAGTTTATACCGTAGTTATTTTACAGGACGACGTTTCGGACAGTAATTTCGCCATTTTCAAGTCTGAAAATTTCTTTTTTTCAATATAAATACAATTTTTAAACCATACAATTTAAAAATAATGTATGGTATAGACAACATATAGAATGGATCCGAAAGGCCACTAGAACGATCTACACAGGTGGAAAAAAAAGTTATTGGTTTTATTGCAGTATTGAGCTGACACGGAACTATTTACTGCCGAGGGAGGCGGGGTGGCCGAGCGGACTAACGCGTTGGGACAGCGTCGAGCGTTGCTCTGCAATCTGACAACCGAAGTTTCCGATAGAATACTAATTACGAGTTCAAATCACGGTGCACGGTGGGGCTTTTAACTCGGCGTAATAACCCGTCTTGACTTAAGACAAGAAAGGGGATGAAAAAAAAGCTATCCACAGCCGCATAACACCCACAATGCCTTACTGGCAGGGTAAAATTTTTAATAAATAAATAAAATAATCCATGTCGTGGTGGAGTTACAAGGTGGTTATGAGAGGGTATCTGTCGTATACCGTTGGGTGGTTTATCGAGACGAAGCTAAGATTGTATTAAAATATTTGATTGACACGAGTGAAACAAATAAAAAGTAATGTATTAAAAAATTAATAAATACCTCAATCATAACATTGTGAGTCCTACTTAAGATGCTATAGAACTTGAAATATAGTAAAATCAACCAGGCACACAACACGCACTTCATAACTATTTTATGATAAATGTCGGAAAGCGGGGTATAAACCAAAAAGAAGCAATTGATAGCTAAGCCCACAAAATATGAGAAAAAGTAACTCAGAAGTTGGAGGGAATAAATATAGTTCGCCATATTAGCGCAGTCCGACAGTCGCCTGCATATCTTGGTCAGTCTGATGACAGTCCTCAATGGACGAAGCTTGAGGTACATTAGTCCTTCGATTTTTTGATTTAAAATTGTGAAACGAACTAGCAAAATATCCAGCAATCCTACAAAGTGGTTAATGACGACCAGTGTAAGGAAGAAGGTCCAATAGAATATTGCGGTCGTGAAAACCTCGTCCTGGAATGAAATCTCGTCCATTATACCAACGACTAAAACGGAGATCGCGAAGTAACAAGTGCTTTTAAAAGAAACACATTTACTAAATTTAGTAAAGTAATCATAGAGAAGAGTGTCTATGTCTTTCAAATCTCGAAGCAGTACAGTCAGGTGATTTGTGGACAGCGAATAACAAATCGCAGACACAAATAAACTGACAACCATCGTAAGTAGTTGGATGGCTAAGAGGAGATCAGCCAATAGCACGTCTGCCACGTTTATTAGATCCATAGTTAAGTAACGGATGGCAACGAAGAGCAAGAAAAACAAATGAGCCACGCAGCATGCTGTCAACCAAGGAGAAACATGGAACCCCTTCCTGCCTAGCTTCAAGGGGAATATGAAAAGACATTGGGAAGCGAGAAATAGTTTATCGAAAGACTTTTCTATCCGCGACATGACGAGTACTCAACCTGGGCTTTTACTGAACAATAGTGACTCCATAATAGTTCTAGTTCTGTCATTCACTTAAACGGCTTTTAGTGATGACTATTATCACAAGTATCGCCTTGAATTTAAGAATATGTTTTTAAAATATTAACTAAAACTTCTTTCTAACCATAAATTACAAGAATCAACAAAGAATATAATTAAAAATCGATATGCTTTTAGTTGAGCGAAATTGAAATCTACTAGTAATTGAAATTCCTAGATATTTAGTTCATCCATTGCTAGGAAACAAGTGTTCTCACAACAGAATGTTAATCCTTATGAAGCTTAGTTTCGCAATCGGATTCTGCCTTCAGGTCTAAGAATGCAATATAGATGCTGCGGTCATTGTCTCTTGATGTCTCTAACACGTTAGAGAGAACTTCAGGGTAAAGATCTGATCCTATATTCGCCGGTTATGTCTATAACTTCTTTGTTTTTCCTGCAGAATAGGGTCAACCATAGGTTTGAACCGGCTATAAACATTGAAAGTAAATATCTGTAAACAAATAGATCTGTAGTTGAATCAATCACTATTATTTCCTTTCTTGTGACTGGAGGTTGTAATGTTAAACTCCCATTCCTGAGGAATTCTTTCGTCGCAAAATCTGAAAAACTAGTTCTCCATATTTAGGAAATTTGACTACATAGGCTCAGCCTGCTGCATTCCTTGTCTTCATCCTTGCAATAGCCTTTTCAACCTCCTCCTTTTTATTGGAATGATTTTCATGATACAGGTCATTTACAGCAACTCTTTCTTCTCTGACACCACCGCTGTTGTTTAATATGTCATCATGCTATCAATAAACCAAAGAGGTAAAGGGGGCGGGGTGGCCGAATAGGCTAAAGCGTGTGTAACAGCACCGCTAGTTGCCTGGCAACCGGATAACAGAGATTTGAGATGATATAAAAAGTACGAGTTCGCGTCCCGGTGCCGGAGGGGATTTTAAATTCCCTGCCCTCACCTCCCGGCCCGGGAAAATCCCGTATAGCCTAAAAGGCGAGGTAGGGAAGAACAAAAAAAAAAAATAAAAAATAAAAATAAACCAAAGAGGGATCTCCTTATCTCTTATATTGCTTTTATAATTCATGGAAGCACAAATCAGCCGTAATTCAAGCTCCACTCAATGTGGTTCCAAAAATGACAGAACAACGATTGGATGAAATGAAGAGAACAATCTAGCATAAGATAAGTAATTTATCAGAAGCGGTATTACTACAAAAGGTTAATAATACATGATTTCGGTCGGTGAACTACGTCCGCTGTAGGCTCGATGGCCGGCAGGAACAGGCCGCCGCAAAGAGAACAACTTGGTCTACGAATGTTGTAAGAATGGTCTAAAGAACAAACGCTCTTGGCACATCCTAAATACCAGACCCCATGGCCTATCATTTGTGATGGGTCAAGTAATTGTTCAGAAGCGGTATTACTAGAAAAGAGTAATAATATATGATTTTATTGAAGGCATTATCCTAGAGTCAATGATGCTGTTTACAATCAATAACATTTCGGGATATATTAAGAAGTTCAACACTTCTGACCAGGCAACGTAGGACGAACTAATACCATATTCAGCGATCATAAACCTTTAGTACATGCCATGTTACAAAACCCCTTTAAAGCATCAGTTACGGAATGGACTTAATCCGTAACAACTATTAATATTAACTTTTATTTAATTTAATCATTTAATCATTCATTGACCTTCATCAAAGCCCTAGATAGGCAGGTCAAGCTATCTCTGATAGCTTAGAAATAGTTATCTAGAATGTACTGACTGGACAGAAGACACTTATCAAGACTTAGGGAACTATAACCCTTTTCAGCAAAAGAGCACTTTCTCACAGACTTCATATCAATTCTAAAAGATAAGGATATCAATTCTTAATAGTTGATAACTTCATTCACACGCTTCCTAGACCGACCAGAATTGATTCATCCCCCCTACTATCCCTGAGCATATAACCCCTATGATCCTCAGACCAAATCAGTGATGCAGTTACATTCTTGATGTCTCTTTACTGCAGGAGACCTGGAGTGAACACATGTAGTCAACTCATTTATCCATAGTATATTACTCTGTATTTTAGATGCCATTCGTAACATAATGAATAAAGCATTGCTTATAAAGTCTGCACTGCCTCCGATTCGTTAACTATCGACATTGCGGTGTTAGATCGATTATTACATCAGCTGATTTTCAACTGATATTCATAATGTTAGACAAAAACGCTATCGCAGATCCAATATCATTTGTGCAAGTATTGGGTCTTGGAAATGATCTCGAATGGCTCGATACTAAAGCCACAATAATCTATTATATTAATTTTATTTCTTTTTGTCTAGTCCGGGTTCTCCATGAAAGTAATCTGTCAAGATAAAAACGTGAGTACCTAACATTGTAGTTGACGTTAAGTAAATATTAACATCTTACTTTAGATTGAAAAATAATGTTGTATAAATCTATTATAAGTTGTTAGATATTCTTATAGACGTTCTTTTACAAAAAATATTTTCAAATGTATCGAACAAACGAATATTCATAATAAATACCTCAATCGTAACATTTTGAGTCCTACTGAGGACGTTGTAGTACATGAAACATAATAAAAATATCGAGGAACCCAACACAAAATAATTAGAAAAATAATTATAAATAGAATCCGGCAAATACACGAAATAAAGGCAAGAGGAAGCTAAGCCAACAAAATATGAGAAAAAGTAACACAGAAGTTGGAGAGAATAAATACCGTTTGCCGTCCTAGCGCAGTCCGACAGCCGCCTGCAGGTCTTGGTCAGTCTGACGACAGCCCTCAATGGAGGGAGCTTGAGATGCATCAGTCCATCGACTTGTCGATTTAAAATCCTTAAACGAACAAAGAAAATATCCAACAATCCTGTAAATTGGTACATCACGACCAGTGTGAGGAAGAAAGTCCAATAGTCCAGTACTGTAAAGAGTACTTCACCCTGGAATGATAACTCGTCTATTACACCGATTGCTAAAACGTAGGTAGCTAAGAAACATGTGGTTTTAAAATGGACACATTTATCAAATGCAGTAAAGTAATCAAACAGAAGAGCGTCAATGCCTTTTAGATCTCGAAGGATAAGAGTCAGGCGATTTGTTGATAACGAAGAACAAATCACAGACAAAAATAAACTGAAAATCATCGAAAGTAGTTGGGTAGCTATGACGAGATTGGTCAGATGCATTCCTACCGTGTTCGTGGAATTTTTAATTAAGGAAGGGATGGCACCACTGAGCAAAAAACATAAATGAGCCAAGCAACATGTCATCAAGCAAGGAGAAAGATAGAACCCCTTCGTGTCCAGTTTCAAGGGGAAAATCAAAAGTATTTGCGAAATGAGGAAAAGCTTCTGGAAAGACTTTTCTATACACGACATGATTGGTAAAGAACCTGGGACCGGATGAGACTGTTGTGACTTTGTGTAAAGATCGATCCTATGACAGTTAGTGTTCTGTCACGTTCATTTGAAATGAGGCTTTTAGTGATGATTATTATCACAGGCATAATAAGGATAGTCTAAAATAAAATGAAAACTTTAACATCAATAGCTATCGGCATAATTTGATTTGTGTTTACGAATATGTTTTAAAATATCGACTAAAACTTCTGTTTTTATTGTTTCTGTTGTTGTTTTCTGTATATAAAGTGTGAACGTGTTCATATCTCACTATAATTATTGTCCACTTGACAGATTATTAAATTACTAAAATAAAAACAAAAAAAAATGTCTTTTTAACCATAAATTAAAATGATTAGCAAAGAATGTAATTAAAAATCAATATGCTCTTAGTTGGACAAGATAGAAATTTACTTATCGTAATTTCCTGATATTTAGTCCATTCATTGCTAGGAAACAAGTGTTCTCACAACAGAATGTCAATCCTTATGAAGCTTAGTTTCGCAATCGGATTCTGCCTTCGGATCTAAGAATGTAAGATAGATGCTGCGGTCATTGTTTACAGTTCTTCAAACTTCTCTAACACGTTCTTCATGGTAAAAATCTGATCCTATATTCGCCCGTTGTGTCTAAAAAATCTTTGTTTTTCCTGCAGAAGAGGGTCAACCATGGGTCTTAACCTGCTCCAAACATTGAAATTAAATATCTGTAGACAAATAGATCTATAGTTGAATCAATCGCTATGATGACTTGCTTTCTTGTGGATGGAGGTGATGTTGAACTCCCATTCTTGAGGAATTCTTTTGTCTCCAAATCTTCAGAAAAGCCTTTATAGAACACCTAATAATATTGGTCATATTGTCTCAGTCTACTGGATTTTCTGTCTTCATCTTCGGAATAGCCTCCTCCATTTTAATGGAGTTATTTTCATGATACAGGTCATTTCCAGTACCTCTTTCTTCTCTGACACTACCGCATAGCAACCACTGTTGTTTAATATGTCATCATGTTATTAAGAGACCAAAGAAGAGGCTCCTATATGCCAATAATAGTATCTCTTATATTACTGTTAAAATTCTTGTAATCACAAATCAGTCGTAAGTCAAGCTTCACTCAACGTGGCTCCAAACAAAAGGCAGAACAACGATCGGATGGAATGAAGATGTCGAGTATTGTATATAGTCACCAGAAGGCCTCGACAGAGCGAGTTAAAATTAGTGTAGTATGACTTAGAACACTAGCTTATCCAGGATTTAATTTTCTGGGGGGCTTCAGCCCGAAAACTTTTTTTTTCATATACATAACGATAATTATTTTGGATAAACAGAAAGATACTAACAACCTATATGAAATGGTGTTTAAGTGATGCTTGAAGTTCTATTGAAAGTTCTATTGAATTAAACGAGCAATAATACTTTAAGCCAAATTTTTTACTATAAAACATGGTTACATTTTACCATTTTGGAGAGGAGACTTCAGCCCCAAAGCCCTCCCCCCGTAGATCCACCTGTGACTTAGTGGATGAAGGAAAAGGCTTAGACAGAATGACTTCAATCAGGCAAATGAGCATCCAAATCACTCTTGGTCTGCGGGGTAAGAGATGAACCTTAACACTCCACAAAAACGAATACCATAAACGGAGGGATGAATCTCACGACTTTTTGGGAGGATGACACACTAACAGGGGGATGAATCTCCAAACTTAAGATATAAGAATACAAGCGAACGGATGAGCACACAGACCTTGTATGGAGAGAAATTAGGAATAAAGGTTAATGGAGTAGACTGGAATAAAAGGAAGTTTAATGTAGAACCAAGAATCGTATAAAGAAAATACTGTTCAAACTGCTGGGGAGGTCCGTAACTCAAAGAATAGATACACGAAGAGCTGTCTTTCTCTTCGGACGACTGCGGTAATCATTACGCCATGATTAAATCAACTATCAAGAGCCGTTACAGTTACTGTTATTTAAAAACATTGATCAGTATACCTTATCGCCATTAAACTTTATTATTAAAAAGTATTATAAATATATATACATATTTACAATTTAGAACTTTGTTTTTTTTTTACATTACAATAATAAAATATAATAGCGCAACTTTTGGATGCATTGAAAGAGCACGAACGCGTGGCGCTGCCAGGTAGCGGTTCGGTGAACTACGTCCGCTGTAGGCTTGATGGCCGGCAGGAACAGGCCGCCGCAAAGAGAACAACTTGGTCTACGAATATTGAAAGAATGGTCTAAAGAACAAACGCTCTTGGCACATCCTAAATGCCAGACCCCATGGTCTATCATTTGTGATGCGTCAAGTAATTGTTCAGAAGCGTTATTACTAGAAAAGAGTAATAATACATGATTTTATTGAAGGCATTATCCCAGAGTCAATAATGCAGTTTACAATTAATAACATTTCGGGATATATTAAGAAGTTCAACACTGCTGACCAGACATCGAAGGACGAACTAATACCATATTCAGCGATCATAAACCTTTAGAATATGCCATGTTACAAAACACCTCTAAAATATCGACATTGCGTGTTAGATGGATTATTATTTAGCCATGAACTGATATTTACAATGTTAGACAAAAACGCTGTCACAGATCCAATATCCGGAGACGTCCCACAACGCTTTTCCTTATCCCCCAACCTTTTTCCATCTATATAAATGACCTTCCATTTTCTATTCTGCACTGTCAATACCACCTGTATGTCGACGACGTTCAAATTTACCTCTCCTTCAATCCGACCGACTCCTCAGGTGCCATCCTAAAATTAAAGAACATATTAACAGAATAAGTGCTTAGGCAAATCTCAACAGGCTCACTCTGCACTCCGAGGAGACGAAAGCCATCTTGATCGGATCCCCCTCACTCCTCCGATCCTTCCCGGTATCTCCCAATCTTCTGCTCACCTATCTTATTCCATACTTGTGTTAGAAACCTAGGAGTTACTTTTGGTCAAACCCACTCCTACAAAACACACATCTTCCAAATTGCCCGTTGCACTATCTCCACCCAAAAACAGTTCAATCGTCTACACTATATGCTTCCATAGAAGTCTCATCAACTCCTAATTTCCTCTCTTACTTTCCTCTCAGGAAATTTCGAAGCCAAACTTATCTAACTTAACGCATATTATCTAGTATTACATCGAGTTGAATAGGCTCTATCCATCCAACCACCGTATGTACATTCTTGCCACCTTTTATTACCAGGTCATTAGAACTCATCGATCCTCCTCTATTCTTCACAGCTTACAATTAAAATACTCCATCCATTCCCGTCCCATTAGATCTCGTACTACCGACCACTATCCTTCTCGTCACTGAACTATTACGTTTGACAAATCCTTTGCAATTCAAGCCGACTCCCTTTGGAATTCCATCCCTGCTGATATTCGACATGCACAATCAGTTTCCTCTTTCAAACCTCTCCTCTTCAAACACCTATTCCTTTCTCAATCCGAGTTTAATTTATTTATGACTACACAGCATATATGCATTCTGTACTTGCAATTTGTTCTAAAAGAACAACAGTCCCAGAATAATAAAATATATTTTCATTTCATTTCATTATCGCACAAGCGGAAAACCCTCAATTGGAAGAGTTTAAACAGCTATCAAGATGTATAAATGTCTAGTAAGTTGTTGTATATTCTTATAGGAATCTTGACGTTCATTTAGAAAAAATCTTTTTAAATGTATCGAGCAAAAGAATATTCATAATAAAACAACTAAATACCTCAAACGTAACATTGTGAGTCCTGATCAGGACGCTGTAGAACGTTAAACATAATAAAAGTATCGAGAAACTCAACACGACATATGTACCAATATAGAGATAAATGTCGGAACTTGGGATATACAAAAAACAGATGCCAGAGGTAGCTAAGCTCATAAAATATGAGAAAAAGTAACTCAGAAGTTGGAGAGAATAAATATCGTTTGCCATCGTAGCGCAGTCCGACAGCCGCCTGCAGATCTTGGTCAGTCTGACGACAGTCCTCAATGGAGGGAGCTTGAGATGCATCAGTCCTGCGACTTGTTGGTTCAAAATCCTGAAACGAACTAAGAAAAGATCCAACAATCCTGTAAACTGATACATCACGACCAGTGTGAGGAATAGTGTCCAATATATCAGTACTGTATGGAATATGTCATCCGGTGATGATAGTGACTGGTCCATTACACCAATAGCTAAAACGTAGGTAGCTAAGAAACATGTGGTTTTAAAATGGACACATTTATCAAATGCAGTAAAGTAATCAAACAGAAGAGCGTCAATGCCTTTTAGATCTCGAAGGATAACAGTCAGGCGATTTGTTGATAACGAAGAACAAATAACAGACAAAAATAAACTGAAAACCATCGAAAGAAGCTGGATAGCTAAGACTACATCAATCAAATGCATGCCTTCCGTGTTCAAGGGATTTTCAATTAAGGAATACATAGCACCACTGAGCAAACATAATAAATGAGCCAAGCAACATATCATCAAGCATGGAGAAAGATAGAACCCCTTCGTGTCCAGTTTCAAGGGGAAAATCAAAAGTATTTGCGAAATGAGGAAAAGCTTCTGGAAAGACTTTTCTATACACGACATGATTGGTGAAGAACCTGGGACCGGATGAGACTGTTGTGGCTTTGTATTAACATCGATCCTATAATTGTTATAGTTCTGTCACGTTCATTTTAAATGAGGCTTTTAGGCAGGACTATTATCACAAGTAAATAAGGATAGTCTAAAATAAAATGAAAAGATTAACATAAATACTGACACAATTTGATTTGGGTATAAGAATACTTTTTAAAATATTAAATAAAACTTCTTTTTAAACGATAGATTAAAAGAATCAGCAAATAATGTAATTAAAAATCAATAAGCTTTTAGCTAAGGGAAATTGAAATCTAATAACCGTTCTTCATAGATTTATATATTTAGTCCACTGCTAGGAAACAGGTATTCTCACAACAGAATGTTAAAACTTATGAAGCTTAGTTTCTTGATCGATTTCTGCCTTCCTATCTAAGAATGATAGATAGATGTCACCTGTTCTTTTGGGCCTAGAGGCACTCTCTCTCAGTATTGAACCATTTTAATTGACCAACAAATTCAAAAACTTAATCCTATCTCAAATTTTAAGGTTTTAAAAAGAAGAAGAAAAATAAATTATATTCTGGGAATAAGTCTCCTTAGAGTATCTACAATGTACAATTTAATGCCAATTGTCTGGCATTTAAAATAATTTTTTTTTTATTTGTTTATATTTAATGCAACTTGCACCTGCGCACATGCTCATCTAGCAAATTTGTTATGTTTGTACTGTCTTGGTGTATTTGCTTGATTTGGTTTTTAATGATATAGTAGTAGAGGGGAATGGGGAGGAGATTGGAGGAGGGGGGTTGGTTATGTGGTGGGGGGTGTGTTTTTTAATTTTGTGGGTGGGGTTGGGGGGGGTGTTGTTGTTTGGGTGGGGTGGAGGGGTGGTGGTGGGTGTAGGAGGGTTTATTGGGGGAGGTTTTGGGGGGGTGGGGGAGGTGGGTGGGGGGGGTGGGGGGGGGGGGGAGGTTAGAATGGGAGTGGATGTGGTTGCTGGGGAGTAGGTTGGGGGGGGTATGATTGGGGAGTGGTGGAGGGTGGGTTGGGTGTTGGGGCGGTGGGCGTTTGGGTTTGGGGGATTGCTGGGTGGGGAAGGTGAGGGGGGGGGAGGTGGAGGGGGTTGGAGGGGGGTGGTTTTTGGGGGTGAGGGGGCTGGGGGCTGTGGGGGGGGTGTGGGTGGTGTGGTGTGGGTGTGGGGGGTGTGGTTATGCGTGGGGGGGGTGAGGGTGTGGTGGGGGTGGGGAAGGGGGGGGTGGGTGTCGGGGTGGGGGGGGGTGGGGGGGGGGGGGGGGGGGTGGGTGGGGGGGGGTGGGGGGGGGGGTGGGTGGGGGGGTGGGGGGGGGGGGGGGGTGGGGGGGTGGGGGGGGGGGGTGGGTGGGGGGGGGGGGGGTGGGGGGGTGGTGGTGTGGGTGGTGGTGGTGTGGGTGTGGTGTGGGGGGTTTGTTGAGGTGGGGGGGGTGTGGGAGTGATGTGGAGATGATAATGTATTTGGTGGGGGGGTTTTGTTATGTGAATTGTGTTGGTTTTTTATTGGGGTGGAATGGGAAGAGTGTGTTAGTTTGGTTTTTATTTGTCGAGTATGTAAGGAAGGGTTGTTGGTTGAAAAGGTTTCGGAAAAAGGAATTACACTAGGTAAGTATTGGCGACGGAAGAGTAGATAGAGCCACTTCAATTCGGTATACAAACTGGAGACGTGGGAGTTCCTGGGGACTCCATAAATGAATCTAATGAAACAATTTATTAGAAGTTTTACATTTCAGGATACGTAGAACTCGAAAAAAATAAATTGGGGTAAACATTTCGACTTTGTTTACTTGTGTTATAGATTACACGTAATTCTTATGAATTTAAAATGTTAGACCTAACTACGTAATATTATAGTTTAAATTATGTAAGTATTAAAATTCCACTTGGGAATGAAAAATAATATTATTGTCATGACTATAATATGTAAGTTGTTAGATATTCGTTTATATCAGTCTTGATTTTCACTTTAAATAGATATTTTGTAAATGTAACGACCAATTAAACATTCATAAAAAAAAAAACTACTAAATACCTCAATCGTAACATTGTGAGTCCTACTCAGTACGCTGTGGAACTTGAAACATACTAAAAATAACACGGAACCTATTACGAAATATTGAAAAATGTCAGAATTCGCAATATTTACAAAATAAAGGCAATTGGCAGAGAAGCCCACAAAATTTGAGAAAAAATAAGACAGAAGTTGGGGAGAATAAATTTCACTTGCCAATCTAACGCAGTCGGACAGCCGCCTGCAGATCTTGGTCAGTCTGATGATATTTCTCAATGGAGGGAACTTCAAGTGCATCAGTCCTTCGACTTGTTGGTTTAAAATTGTAAATCGAACTAAGAAAATATTCATCAATCCTACGAAATGGTCAATCACGACCAGTGTGAGGAATAAGATCCAATAGAGCAGGAACGTCGAGATTACTTCGTAGTCGGATGATAACTGGTCCATCACACCGACAACTAATACGTACATCGCAATGAAACATGTACTTTTAAAAGACATACATTTATCAAAATCAGTAAAGTAACCATTCAGGAGAGTGTCAATGGCTTTCAGATCTCGAAGCATAGCAGTTAGGCGGCTTACTGAGAGCGAATAACTAATCACAGACACAAATAAACCCACAACCATTGAAATCAGCTGGACAGCTAATACTACAACAATTAGGTTCATGTCTACGTCGTCCGTGGTATTTACCATTAGGCAACGCATTACACCACCAAGCAAAAAACATAAATGAGCTATGCAACATGCCGTTAACCAAGAAGAACGTTGAAATCCCTTCGTGTCCAGCTTCAAGGGAAATATCAAAAGTAGTTGGGAAATGAAGAAAAGTTTCTTGAAAGACTTTTCTATACACGACATGATGGGTATTGAACCGAGGATCGGATGGGACACTTTCAACCTGTGGTTAACATCGATCCAATAATAGTTATAGTATTGTGAGGTTTATTTGAAAGGAGGCTTTTAGTAAACTTTACGAACGATAAATTAAAGAACTATCAAATACTATAATTAAAAATCAATAAGCTTTTAGTTACAATGAATTGAATTCCAATATCTCTTCTTAATAAATAGATGTATTTAGTCCACTCATTGCCCGAACAGAATGCAAAACGTACGAAGCAGAGTTTCGTAATTGAATTATGTCTTTATGATTAAGAATGATGGACACAGGTCGCGGCCATTGCCTCAGAATTGACTTTTTTTAGGGTGAAGACCTTGATTGATCATTGGAGTCTGGGCAGAGATCCTATAGCTAGAAGCATTTTAAAAAGTAGCATTTTCACAAACAATATTTCATACCTATTACCGAAGTAGGTTTAAAAATTGAGAGTCCCTTTCCAGGCCTCATTGAATTTACTAAATTTACTGGAAATAGTCAATGCTCCATATTATGTCACGAACAAGACCCTACACCATGACCTTAAGATCCCATATGTCCATGACATCATCCCATCCAGATTCTCCAACTTTCACCAGAACCTCATTCATCATCCCAATCCTCTAGCGCAATCCCTATCCAGCTCCGAGCATCCATACCATCCCCCTCGAAGGTTGAAACGGCAGTGGCCTCGAGATATTTTGTAAATATGCCTTTGGAGTCCTGGCAATGGCTTCTCCACTGACAGCTTCTCCACTCATGTCCTGAGCGTCTGTGGCTCTTGTGTCCTCTTTCAGTCTCCACTGGCCTCTAATACTAGTGATGCGGCTGGAAAAGTAGCGCTGGGAGTCTTGCTTTGCCTTCCACGTGTGGGGGAAAAAGCCTGGCTCGGAGATTCTTGGGCGAATGTATATATTGTTTATAGGTATGATTGTGTTTAGAAGTTTTTATTTTATTTTATTTGTTTATTTTATTTTTTTATTTTTATTTAACTTCTTCAATATTATATATTATTTATTTACTTCTTATATTTATATTTCTTTCTTTATTATTTGTATATATTGTATGAATGAGAACTTTTAGCCCTAATGCTTATAGCCCTCCAGCAGTGGCTGATTGTATTATTATTCAATAAACAGATTAAAAAAAAAAAAATTACTGGAAGACCTGGAGCTCACACATTAAAATAAAACGAAAGACTTTAAACTAGCGACTTCAAATATTATATTCTCTTCTTTCAAAATCAAAATTGATGATCAGACAAATATATATATATATATATATATATATAACTGCTGAGAGATCTGTTGGGTCTAAATAAGCTTTGTCATTCTGAAAGGTTCCACCATTGGTATTTGATTTTAACCGGCTCTCTGGAATGGAAGGATATACTTTGTAAAGCACATATAAGACAAATATTGCAATAATTTAATAAATGAGCAATTGTTTTAATTAATTTATATAACTTTTTATTTTCATTCCTAATCAATTCCTTCGTCGTCCTAAACTTTTTGGAAATGCTTTTTTAGGTCTTGAACTAGTTCTGGTCCTTCATATTTAAGAAATTTTGGAACTATATTGTCTCGGCTAGTTGCTTTCCGTCTTCTTCTTAACAATAGTCTTTTCAACCTCCTCCCCCCCCCCTCTTCAATGGGACCATTTCCATAATGCGCCTGGAGTCACCATCAGACAATTCAGTCTGGTATTTAGGTTGTTCAAAGAGAACGTCGTTCATTAGACCATCACTGCAATATTGAAAAACTAGGTTTCTCCCTTCATCCCTTCGATCGTCGTTATACCATTTTTTGGAACCACGTAAATAACAATTGAGTGGAGCTTAATTTACGGCTGAGTTGTGATTGCTAGACTTGTAGCAGCAATTTAAGAGCTATTTCTATAAAGGAGTCACTTCTTTACTTCGATGGCTTCTCCAACCCGGGGTGCGTCATGGCCTCCTCTAAGAGCTCCGCCATCCAGATGATCACTTTCTTCCGGATTGACCCATCTTGAGTAGTATATAAGCAGAGCTTCCAGCACGATTTCTTCTCTGATACCAGCGCATAGAAACTACTGTTGTTTAAAATGACACTTTATTATCAAGATAACTCTACAGCTTGTACGAAGATATCAACATAATTCATCAAAGTGGGCATGCTCGGCATAGTAAGATGCGTGGCACGTCGTAAGACTGAGGAGAGGATACCCATAAACGTTCTGGAGGGGTGCTGGACTGAACTAGGAGAAGAGGAAGACCCAGATTAAGATGGATCGACAGTGTGGCTGCTGACACGAGGATAATACTACACCAACAGAACTGGAAAGCGGTGGGGAGTGACCTAACTACATAGCGAAGCTCTTAGAGGAGACCATGACCCACCTCGGGCTGTAGAAGTAGGTAAAAAAGTGATAAAGAGATCATACAGGGAGCTCCTTCATAGCAATAGCTGTTATATTGCTGCTACAAGTCTTGCAATCACAACTCAGCCGAAAATCAAGCTCCCCTTAATTGTTATCTACTTGGTTTTAAAAAATGGTATAACGACGATGGAATGGAATGAACGGAGAAATCAGAGTCCTTGAATATTGCAGGGATGGTCTAAGGATGATATGATGACGCACTCCGAAAGACGCCTGCATATTTTGGTCAATCTGATAAGAATTCTCAATGGAGTGAACTTGAGGTGCATCATTCCTTCGACTTGTTGGTTCAAAATCCAGAAACAAACTAAGAAAACATCCATAAATTCTGCAAAGTGGTTAATCACGACCAGTGTAAGGAAGAAGATCCAATAGAGCAGTACGGTTGAGAATATTTCGTCCTGGAATGAAAATTGGTCCACCACACCAACAGCTAAAACGGAGATCGCGAAGAAACAAGTCCTTCTAAAAGAGACGGACAAAATTGATCAAATTTTGTGAAGTAATCAAACAAAAGAGAGTCGATGCCTTTTAGATCTCGAAGCACAGCAGTCAGGCGATTTATCGAAAACGAATAGCAAATAACAGACACAAATAAACTTAGGTCCTAGGGAGAAATTACAGTCCTTGAATATTACAGGGATGGTCTAAGGAAAGAAGTTCTCTTTGCAAAACCAAAATACCAGACTGAATTGCCTCTCATCTGTGGTATGGGAGTTACTATTACCAATATATCAGCTAATTGTATAGGAGGAGTATTACTTAGAATATAATTGAATTTTATTGAAGTCTAATGAACAGCTGCGTAAGATTTGTAATTGGGGCCCCAAGATACTCCCATGTCTCTCACCACTGCACTGTGTTAAGGTGGCTTTTCACGTAATTCCGAAGATAATATTTACTAGGTACATTCCTCTACCGAATCATCAACAGCTATCGTCCTTCTTACGCCTACAACCTTCTCCAGTTCAGATCCTCAGTCCATTCCCTGTCCACAAGATCTCGACCTGCTAGCCTTTACATGCCTTCTTATTGATCTGCCTTATTCCAAAAGTTCTTTATTACTCGCTCTGTCAATTTATGGAATTCTCTGCCAATCAAAATTTGGCATTCCCCCTACATATCCACATTTAAAATTCTCCTATTCCAATTCCTATCTCCAAAACAGTCGACAGATAGTTGCTAACCATTCGACAACATACATTTATTTCATGGCATTTATTGTCAAATATCAATACTGTTCTTTTCTTGGGATAGTAATTTTCCTATAGGGTTTCTCTTAATCTTGATGTCTTAAAAGCATCTATTGTTTGTTTATAACTATTATCTTTTATACACCATTAAATTCTTGTCTATCGTTACGTTAAGAAATGATGATGGTATATTTATATATTATTCAGCATTTAAATGATAATGTATTTATATATTAATCAGGCACTTTATATTGTCAGGTTCAGCTTTCTGTTTTCTCAACTGAAAGGCAAAGCTTATTTTAAGGAAGAATTTGATATATTTTTATTTTTTCTTTATTGTTTTCTTAAAAGTGTATACTGGTCTATCAGTGCAAATAGCTTTAAGTGTCTCGTCATAGTGTTAATTGTTTTGTATATAGTTTCGTTTCTTTTGCATATAGAGTGTTTACCTTATTTTTTCTTTACATTATTTCTATTGATTTTATTTTGGCCAGATGTAATCTTTTAATTTTGTTCTATTTTGTTGTTCTCTAGGGATTTTGTCCCAGAATAAAGTTATTTTCCATTATTATTATTATTTTTAAAATCTGTCACAATCTAGGAATCTAGGGCATTCAGAATTATGGCTCTATGTGTTCCATTCATACATTTTACATACATAAAAATTAAAAAGCTATATAAAGTATAAGCGAGTTTAAAGCTACTCGTATTGTATATTATGCAATAACAATTGTTACCATTTATTTACTTTATTTTAGGATCTTGTTACTCAGTTTGTTCTGTTAATATAGTTTATTGTTCTTAATAATTCAATGTACTTACTGTTTACAAAATCGATAAGTTTATTCACCTTGTTAATAATTTTTATCTAAATATTATGTAGCTTCCTCAAGTTATCCTTTTGTATCTTGTTCGTTCTAGCCCTGAAGAAGACCTGCAAAGTCGGATCGAAACGTTGGCTTTAAATAAAGTAGTTTTCCCGCTATTTTAGTCTCTTTATGACCGCCACCATTAAAATTATTCCCCTTTTGTTGTATGTCATTTGCGATGGTGTGTCAATTCCACAACTCTTTCGATTGAACGGACTGAATTTTTATTTAATATTGTTTTTCAAAATTGTTGTTAATCAAAAAGTTTGTTAACTACAGATAATTTTGAAGTTATGTCAAGTAATCTGGATGAAAGACCTCTGTATAATTGTATTAGTTTTTGGCCAATGTTCCTCATGTAAGTAATGTTCTTCATATAAAATCAAAAGTACCTAATATTATAGTTGAAATAATGTAAATATTAAAATTCCTCTTTTGATTGTAAAATAATGAACAGCAAATTTAAGTTGTTAGCTAATAGTTCATAGAAATATTAATGTTGATTTTAAGTAAATATTTTTTAAATGTACTAATAAATACCTCCATCGTAATATCGTGAGTCCTACTCAGCAAACTGTGGAACATGAAACAAAGTAAAAACATCGTGGCACCCAACACGAAATTCATACCTAAAAAGCGATAAATGCCAGAATCCGAAATATATACAAAATAAAGGAAATTGGCAGCTAGGCCCACGAAATATGAGAAGAAGTAACTCAGAAGTTGCAGAGAATATATGTCATTTGCCATGATGACGCACTCCGAAAGACGCCTACATATTTTGGTCAATCTGATGAGAATTCTCGATGGAGGGAACTTGAGGTGCATCATTCCTTCGACTTGTTGGTTTAAAATCCTGAAACGAACTAAGAAAAGAACTCCACCCACCATCCCCACTGGCAAGCCCCGCCCGCGTCCCCTCATCCTCTATCCACCTCACCCACATCTTCCCCACCTTCCTCTTCACAAAACCTACCCCATTCCATCCCCCAATTACCCGGGCCCCGCTGCCCCACCCCTCTAGCCCCCTTCTCATCTCCTCCTCCCCCTACCACCACCCCTCTCCCCCAAACACCCACTTATCCTACCACACTCCTTCTCCTCTCTACGCCTTCAAAAACTCACACTCCTCCCCTCCTACCTCCTCAAACCACGTCACCACTCCACTCCCCACCCCGCTCCACCCATCACCTCCCTACGCCACTATTCTCCTAATGTCACTCACACTCCCACTCACCTCCCCCTTCCCTCCACCCCTAGAAAACCCTCTGCAAACCCCAAAACCCACCTTCACCCCCCCCTCCCCGCCCCCCACCCAGCCCCCCCCCCCATAATACAGCCCCGTGCTACCCTTTTTCCCCCAAACCCGTCCAGTCACAAGGGGAAAACCCAGCGTGAAAATGCACACTCGCGACCACTCAAAACCCAGGCCAAAACTACCCGATGGTGTCCATAACCGTAATAGTGAAACCAAGGCTTTCACTAAATATTATCGATCCTATAATAGTTCTAGTTCTGTCACGTTCACTTGAATGGAGGTTTTAGTGAAGGCTATTATTACAAGCAAAGAGTTGTAGTCAATTATAAAATTAATTACTCCAACACCATTAGTCGTCGGCACAATTTGATTTGGGTTTTGGAATTTTGTTTGCAGAAGAAATTAAAAAAAATGTGTTATTCTTTGCAAAATAAAAAATCTGATGTGTCCACTCACACGACTTTCCTACCTATTTCAGAAAAGTTTACCTGTTTCAGAAAGTTTTAGAAATCCATCTTTACACATGTCTATTAATAAACAAAAAAAAAATTGAATTACATCAACTTTACTGAAAATATATATGAAGGAAATAGTGAAGCTTGTGTGATGCGGGCAAAAGATTTTCTTACTTTCAGCTAGTTATGTTTTTTCTCTCATCCACCCCTTTCTGACACGAGGATATGAATCCGTAATCTTACATCGGCAATTGAATAGCAATAACTTCGATAATAGTTATCCGAAATGTACGATTTTAGTTTTGTAGGGAATTTCATTATCTTTAAAAAATAAAAAAAACAGGCTTCTGAAAAATTGACCCGATCGCAATACTTTCCTTACCCAGTATAGGTTGGAAATTAATAAATTAAAACATGTCTAGGTTTCGATAGTTAGATGGTTAGATTTCGATGTTTTTTTTTTTTGTTTTGTTGGGAATTTAATTACCTCTCAAAAGTTATATTATAAATTTGACCATATATATACTTAGCGAGTTAGACCCCAAAACATTTTTCTTTTCTTTATAACTTTACGAAGTAGACAAATCACTACTTTCTCTGATGGCATCATTTTTCTCGTATGGTAAGTGGCAGTAGGTCGGAGAAACCAAAAACTATTCAACCAAGTGTTTGCCTTTGGAAAACTAGGATTACTTTCGTAAAACATTTTATGAATTAATTCAGAAAATTTTTTTATTCAACTAATACAAGTTGCATCCATAGCACGCACAGACGCTCGTATACTGTTGGTCAGTTAAACGTCCTGCTATTAAAATCATAATAATCCGTGGACAATCAAGAGTTTAATCGAGTACTATATTCAAAGCAAGGGTCGACTAGTTACCGCTATATAACGATTCTTAGCTCAAGTCCTTTCCATACTATGAAGATTTTAAATGGGAACTATCAGACTATGTAGTAATTAACTTTGATAAATGCTCGGCCAATATGGCATTCCTTTATAAGAGATCTAAATGGGAAAAATAGAATAGTGCAGTGTAAAACTGTAAAAAAACAGCTTTATTATATCTTTTGGGTTTATTGGATTCAATCAAATAAATGCATCTCCCTTTTGAAACATAAACTTCTATAACCGAAAGAAGAATAAGTCGTCATCCATCCAGATGACAACTCTCTTCTGGGTAACCAGAGAATATAACTGTGTCTCACGAGGTTGGCAGGTCTTAGCATGGGAGATACCTCTCCATATTCTTCTGTAAGGAGATTTGTTCAAATACGTCTACAAGAAAGAAGGGAGAAGGGAAACCTCCGAGTGAAGATTGAGGAACAACTTCATTGGATGGAAGACAGTACTGAATGAAACCACTATTTTCAGGAAAAGAACAGACGGTGGGTCTCGACCAGATAAGGATTCAACAATCCAATAATTCCAATAATACTTAAATGAGACACGACTACTACTAATAATAATACTATAATAAGACACGATAATAATTAGACACAATACTATTATAAGATACGACTTGAACATTGGAAGTTACAACCTGTAAACTCTTCATCGTTCTTTTTCCTGATGATGACTAGTAGCTGATAATGGAGGAACATTACAGGCAAATGTATATATCTGAATAGAAGAGCTGGCAAAAAGAAATATGGTTGTTCCAAGTTGTTAATTCCAAGACCAAGTGTGTACAAGACTCCAGAGCCAAGAAGAATTTGAGGATTCACATTAATGAGACGATGATACAGCAGATTCCCACCCACAAGTTCTTGGTTGTAACTATGAGTGAGGACAGAAAATTCAACAATGAAATTAATGGAAACTGACCAAAAGGAAGACCGAGAATTACTTGGGAGGATATCCGGCTGAAACTTCGTAAATAGATTGATCTCATCTTTCAATCTGGAGACCAGCAAACTTCTTCTATTTAATTAGGTATCAAAAGCTCTTAAGTAACCATTTCTTTTCCACTTGAATTCCAAGATAATTTGAGAAAAGAATCAAGAATAAATGTGGCCTTCAAAAATATTGAGCCATTTGGCGTTGCCTACACTCCGAAAATGTCAAAATAACGAGATTATATAGGACAAACGCCACAATATTTTTATTGGTCACCTTTTTTCTCGATTTTGTGATCAAATTATCAAACGATCCAAGTGGAAAGCAAATAGGTATTTACGAGCTTCTTATACCTAATTAAGTAAATAATGTTTGCCGACCTCCAAATTGAAAACGCTCCAATTCCAAGAGTTTTCATAAATGAAATAGTTGTAGGTAACAATGAGATAAAGCTATTTACGAAGTTTCAGGCGGATGTCAATAATTTGATAAAAAGGGGTCTGTACCACAGACTATAAAGGAAAAGGGATCGGATCGGTTTATCAGTCAAAGTTATAGCGTCTTATCTAAACAAACATACAATGAATATATGGTAAAAGAACGTAAGATAAAGGATATGGATTCAAATTTAACATCCATTTAGCAAGATATAACATTCCATGATTTAAATTGTTCTATCAATTGTGGTTGTGTATATTTTGAACATAAATATGAGCTAAACTTTGATTGCAAGATTTGATTGATAGAGGTAAAAAAAAAAAAATAAATACCTCAATCGTCACATTGTGAGTCCTACTCAGAATTCTGTAGAACTTGATAAATAGTAAAACGACCCAGGCAGTCAACACGAAATTCATACTTAAATAGCGATAAATGTCAGAATCCGGGATGTAGACATAAAAAAAGCAATTGACTGCTAAACCCACAAAATATGAGAAAAAGTAAGACAGAAGTTGGAGAGAATAAATTTCATTTGCCATGACGACGCACTCCGACAGCCGCCTGCAGATCTTGGTTAGTCTGACGAGAATCATCAATGGAGGGAGCTTGCGGTTCATCAATCCTTCGACTTGTTGGTTTAAAATCCTGAAACGAACTAAGAAAATATCCAACAATCCAACAAAGTGGTAAATCACGACGAGTGTCAGGAAGAAAGTCCAGTAGAGCAGGAAAGTCGAGAATACTTCGTCCTGGTACGCCAATTCGTCCATCACACCAACAACCACAGCGAAGATCCCGTAGAGCCACGTGTTTTTAAAAGAGACACATTTATCAAATTTAGCAAAGTAATCAAACAGAAGAGAGTCGATGCCTTTTAGATCTTGAAGAACGACAGTCAGGCGATTTGTCGATAACGAATAGCAAACAAAGGATAAAATTAAACTGACCATCATCGAAAGTTGCTGGATAGCTAAAACTAGATCGGCTAAAGACGCGCCTGTTGTGTATAAAGGTTTTCTAATGAAACCATAGATAGTGCCGCAGAACAGAAACAGTAAATGAGCCGAACAACATGTCGTTAACCAAGAAGAACGATAGAATCCGTTCTCGTCCAGCTTCAAGGGGAAAATCAAAAGGATTTGGGAAATGAGGAAAAGCTTCTTGAAAGACTCTTCTAAACGCGACATGATGAGTATTGAACCAAAACGTTTACCGAACATTAGTGATTCCTTAATAGTTCTAGTTCTGTCACGTTCATTTAAACGGCTTTTAGTGATGTCCATTATTATGTTTAAACAGGTATAGTCTGAAATAGAAAGGAAAATTCAACTCCTTCAAAATTCAACTAGCTCTTTACTGCTAAAATGATTTTTAAAAATTTATTTATTCAGAATTATTATAATCTGTCACTATTAAGAACATTTATAATAGAGCACAGTTCAGAGAGCACATTCACTCTCTATTCACAATAAATAATAGAGAAAAATAATAATACTGAAAGTAAAAAATAACAAATAAAACTGAAACACGAGCATACTTTTATACAATATTTACAGAATCCATTCACTCTGGAGAACTCCGAGCCAAGCCTTTCTCCCCACACGTGGAAGGAAAAGCAGGACTCTAGGAGATCCTAGCGTCTCCCACTCAGCCGCAGTACTGGTATTAAGGCTGAGCAGAGGCGTAATAATCACACATACATGGATTGTCTTGGCATGGATTCAGGATTGACTTGTAGATAATTAATTTGAGAAAGTTCAGAGTTTCTGTTCAGTATTCTGTATAGTTGGCCGTAAAGTGATTTTTAAAACAGAATAGTTCAAACAGGAGACTTCGGCAATTCCAAAATGGAATTTTATTAAGAATTGCTAAAAACACTTAAACTGAAATAGAAAAATCTGATAAATTACAGGCCTTGTTAAATTTTCCCAGCGTAACTGAATTTATAAACAGGAGAACAATAAAATTCTATGATGAAGGTTAAAATATTTAACCAACAGTGAATTCAATATTATCAGATATCCGCCGGCTCCTCGGCCATGGCAAAATATAGATGCGAGGTAGATTTTAAGTTAGTCTTAGAAGAAAATTATCAAGATAGAGGTGAGCACCACCATCCTGATCAGTATTCAAGAAATAAATATTACAAACAGGACTAAGGAAGGCTCAGCAAGACGTTAAAATGTATCTAATGATACAGCACAAGGAACATCGTACAGTATATATAAGAAACAAAACTTGTTAACGCCGCATACACTCGTATCTTTATTTTTTATTTTATTGTTATTTTGTCTCACCATTTTTACCCTTTTTGAATGTAAATGTAATAAATGTTTATTATCTTTTTGTAATAGGCCGAGGGATATTGGTCCCAAAAATGTATTTTGGTGTATATTATTTATATATTTAGGTTTATGCGCGATGTTTATTGCATATTTATATGGACCAGCCCGGCAGTAATACCTAGTCCTAAGGATTAAGACATCAAAATAATGCCATAATACTGTCGGGATGCGGTCTTCTGTCAGTCTGGAGCTAGCTTTTGATGACGTTGGATCAACGTAGTGGGCGGCTACTCCCACCCGCTGCTCCAGGTTCACCTCAACTCAACAGCCTAGCACATTTTTTTATAACAGCTGTTGGGCGCAGCTGAGTCATCAATCGAGATCGATATACATATCGATACGACCCCACCATCGATTACTTGACAACTATTTCTTAAGGTTAAAAAAATTGTTGTGCTCAGAATCGAAAACTTTCACTGGCGTTTTACTTATACTTGGTGTTTCAGATATCAAGGATCAAATTTGGTTCGGTGTCTGTCTGTCTGCCTGTAGTCAAATCGATGTAACGGGTATATCCACCTACTACCGTTTATCCGATTTTCATGAAATTTTCAGGGATTGTACGGGTTGGTGTCTAAATGATCCCACATAAATTTCATTAAATTTTAACTAGCACTTCCGCTTACGCTTGCGAAACCCCATTTTTTAGATATGCCAATATTTCACATTTTCCTATATATGGCGATATTGGCAGTACTCATACTCAAAAGACTGAAAGATTTAACTGAAAAAATCATAGGAGAATATCAGGGATGCTTTAGGCCTAAAAGATCAACAATTGACCAGATATTCTCTCTGAGACAGATAATGGAAAAATGTTATGAATTTAACATAGGACATGCACCTTCTCTTTGTTGACTTTTTAAATCTACGATAAATGTAGGCATATCCAAGAAACTGTTCATACTTACAAAAATCTGCTATTTCTTTATTACTTGACAGCTAGACATCGAAAGTTCACCGGGTTGGAAGCGAAACCTCCAACTTGGCTCGTTTTTTTACTATTCTCCACCGTCACGAAAGACAATAAATTAATTTCTTCGCTAAAATTAATTTTTTTTCTTTTGGACAGTTATTTTTTTTCTCTTGATTTTGTTTATAGTTTTAGAAGTTCGTTTTATTTATATATGTTTTTCCTAATGTTTAATTTGTTTTTGTTTTTGTATAAATTTATAGCTTTTTTCACCATAATAAATATTGTAAACATTCAAAAGGGGGATCTTTTATTTTCCACATATTTAATTAATTGAATATTTTAATTTTAATATTTTGATATGCATATTTTTTTTCTCTTTTACAGGTCTCATTTTTATTCACTCCTTTTATTTTTCTCTCTTTTCCAACATTTTTAATTATATTCGAATTTTCCCCACCTTTGAGAAAACCCACCAGGGAAAGATTTGGACTTCGATTTTGAAGTACCCCTGGCCCCAACAAAACTGTATATATAAAACTAGGGATATGAAAAAAAAACAAAAAAGAAAAAAAACTGACCAATGAACCATAGGAATTATTCTCACATGCCAAATAACAAAAATTTATTCTTAATAATACTTTCTATTTATTTACTTTGTATCAATCTGCTAATATAGCCTACAGTCGTTAATCAGCTTTAAAATCGAAATATAATATCACTTTTAATAATGTAAACTCGACAATACTTACCTCTTTGGAATTCCAAAGTCTTTAAATTTAAGTCATTAGTATTGTTTTATGCAAAATCTTAAATGAAGAGGTAAATAATTAAATAAAAATAGATTAGTTTAAAAAAAAAAAAACTTTTATTTCCAATAATATATGATCAGGCATTATGTTACAAAGTTTTTCTTTTATTTTTCTTGAGATATCTGGATGAGAATCACACAGTAAGTAGTCACCGCCCCCGCCATCTTGAGAAAACAAAAACAACTATATAATCAACTTTATGTCCACCTTACACGGTCAATATTATTGAATGAATAATATTGAAGCAATATTCTTGAACGTTGTATACATAGTACAAATGTCGATATAATTGTTACAATATATTCCTCAAGCGGTCAATATATTCGATATTGATTCAATAATATTGACGTGTAAGGTTGGCTTAAGGAATATTATTATATTTTATAATAATGGTTACTAATTAGAAATAGATATTTTCGGAGAAAGGGAAGTGAAAATAAAAATAACAGACAGTAGAAAATATCAATTAACACATGTTTTTCACAGCTCTGTAATATATTATATTTATATTTTTTTTCACAAACCTTGTCCTTTTACGACTCTATATTTTAATAATTTATTTGATTATAATAAATGATCAAGTAGCTTTAAATATTTTTATTTCGGCAAGAGTGCCACTGATCAAGAAGGCCGCGATATTTATTGAAGTGAAAACTTCTTTGCACTTTTTTTGTGAAACAGAGAAATGTTCAGCATTTCATCTTCTCTGTAATGAGCTGCTATTCAAAATTATATTTTAATCCAACACCGTTTAAGAGAGTAGGAGAGGGAAAAAGATAGTGTCCAAAACCAAATGATAACGAGTTTTATTGAAAATATGGATTAAACTATTTCAGAAACTAAAAATTGGACCTGCATCCTATAAGCGAGGAAAATGTTCAGCGTTTCATTCTCTTATAGCTGTTATTTATAAATATTCAAGCTGTTATTTATAATTTATATTTCATATTCTAATTCTAATTCTCGTTTTGTTGATGTTTTCACTTCTATCGTGTGGTCTAACTTTTTTATATTTACCCACCTTACTTTTTTATATTTCATTTTGGGTATTTTTTTAAGTACTGATATATATACAAATTTTAATATTTATATTGCAGTAATATCTACAATAAATATTAAAATTATCAACGCCGTACTTCTCGATTTTCGAACGTATTAATATTTAGTAGGCTGTCAAACCTAGTTTCATGGCATGCGCCTTTAATATGGGAGCAGGTTAGCCCGCAAGACGGTTCTGTTATGCAAGTCAGGAAGGCTAATTTTAAGGCGTTACGGTCTTCCTTTAAGGTCTTTGTTGCTGAATAAAATTAGGAGATAATTTTGGAAAACGGATTAAATGAATAACTCTTTACATTGTGAGAAATAACAAAAAATAACTGAATTAACATAATTTCGTTTATAAGGTTATATGTAGTCTACCGAAGGAAACAATATATAAAGGATGTCCCGTTAATAGAGGGGAAATATATATAAGGTTAATAGTAGACATCAATATCTACAAAAAAATTCATATAAACAATATTCGAAAAAGCTTTTTAATTTTTATTAAAAAATGTGTTTTAGGCAATTATGTTTATTACAATACATTCCATATCACAAAAAAAAAGAAATACAAATTTTGTACCAATTAATTGTAGTCAATTTTCATGAAAACATAGTTATTTTTAGGTGACTCGATAGAAAATCACATTATTTCTTTACACGACTTGAGGTGAATATAAAAATTTGTCATAATAAACCTCAACTTAATTAACATAGACTTAAAGTTTATTAAACGAGGAAGTTTTTCTGGAAGTGACCCCACACTTGAAGAGTGATAAAAAAAAAAAAACAAAAATAATTTATGACTTTTTTTTAAACGGAGCTGAGTTTGTCCGCTCAATAGTCGTCTTCAAATAGTTTTAACAATGACAAACTCTACTTTCATTCGAAGAAAATTTTATCTAGTTTACTATGGAGCAATTCATAGATATTTAAATCAAATGTTTTTTTAGTTATCGCTTCCTATTCAACAAAAACGGGATCCATTTTAAAAAGCACAGATATCAAACTTCCTACTTTTCTACTGGTAATTGGGCGATTGTTCATAAGAGCTCTTTTTGTAGATCTTGATGTCAACTATCAATCTTTTACGTATTTCTCTCTACTTACGGGACACCCTGTATAATTGATACATAGTTATAGCAAAGTAAATATTGTAAATATTTACTCTATTTATGACCACATATACATGTATTCAGTACTTATAATTTGTTCTTAAGAGACAACAGTCTCAGAATAATAAAATATATTTCCATTTCATTTCATTTCAAAGTAATGAATAATAATAGAAAAAACCTCAGCCAAACTTCAAGTATCAAATATGTAATTTTTGTATTTATCTGTTCTCATATTAATTTTTTTTTGTTTTAACATTTTTTTGCACGTGTCACCACAACAAAACAGCCTAGATATGTTGGTATCTTATAAATTTTTAACTAATATTTTTTCGATGTTTTCCCGGAGGAGCTGGTAAGTGTGAGACTCAGTGCCTGTATTTCTTAGGTTGCTTACCATTCTTCATTAGATATCGAAGGTCTTTGTTTATCCAATCCATATGGTTTGAAAACTACTATCTTTTATACACCACTAAATTGTTGCCTATTGTTACAATAAGATTATGATGTATTTACACATTAATCGACATTTAAATGATAATGTATTTATATATTAATCAGGAACTTTATATTGTCAGATTCAGTTTTCTGTTTTCTCAACAGAAACACAAAGCTTATTTAAATGGAGAATTTAAAATATTTTTATTTTTTAATTCTTTATTGTTTTCTTAAAAGTGTATAGTGATCTATCAGTGCAAATAGCTTAAAGTGTCTTGTCATAGTGTTAATTGTTTTGTATATAGTTTCGGTTGTTTTGTATATAGAATGTTTACCTTATATTTTCCTACATTATTTCTTTTTTTCTATTTATTTTATTTTGGCAAGATGTAATCTTTTAATTTTGTTCTATTTTGTTAATCTCAACAGATTGTGTCCCAGAATAAAGTTATTTTCTATCTATCTATCTATGTAGATGTAAATAGTGTTATCGGAGCCCGTATAATATATTAAGCACGTGTTACGTATGGACGCCTATTCTAACATTTCGACTGAATTCGAGTGCGCTCTCGGGTTTCTTCGGTCCCTCTTTAACTGCTATTCTCCGTTATGATCTCTTACTTCCCTTTAGTTAATTATCGAATTATTGCATATTTCATATTTAACTATTCTTTATAGCAGGTTACAATATGAAATAGTTAATTATTTCAAATAAAAAAAAGAATAAAGCTACTTTAGTGGAAGACATTATGAAAATAAGGCATTAAATCCCTCTTAGATAAAATAAATGAGAATAAGAGCTACATTATATTAAAAACTGAACACCTTTATACCGATATGATGAATTTAATCAAAATCGTTAGTGTTTTTTTTTTTTTTTTTGTTTGTTTGATGATATAAACTGCCACGATATAAGATTCCAGCGATATAGGAACCTTATATATGCCATATCAGTTCTGTTCGACTTCACACACACACTCATGATCGCAGAATAACAGCATACAGTACACAGGATACAATACACAGGATACAATACACAGGATACAATACACAGGATACAGTACACAGGATACAGTACACAGGATACAATACACAGGATACAGTACACAGGATACAATACACAGGATACAGTACACAGGATACAATACACAGGATACAGTACACAGGATACAGTACACAGGATACAATATACAGGATACAGTACACAGGATACAATACATAGATGCTTACCCCAACAAGTAATTTTAAGTCTAGTTTAAAGAAACCTGCGGCCGTGAGTGTTACCTCTCTTTTTGAAGCTATTTGCAGTTGTAGAGTTTTCTGAAATAAAAGAACAGTTATAGCATTAGAGAATTGAATTGAATACAATGACTGTTCCTGAGAAATTTGAGACGTCTGTGTTGTTTCAAAGTCTTCTGAATTCATGAATGTATGATCCTTTCCTCATTAGTAATGGATAATTTTATTCTACTCTATCCTGCCTGTTAAGCAATGAAAGAGAAAATAATATCCTTTCTTAGACTATTTTCGTAAACGATGGTTATAATATTTTTTCTTGATTTAATAATTGAAATATAACTCATTGAACTTATGATGGGTATCAACAAGCTCTCTTTCCATGCGACCAATAATAAAAAAATGATTCCAATAAAATAGATGATACATGTATCTGTATTAAATCTTTTTTTTTTATTTATTCATGATATTTACAACTGTATTAAAAAATTAAATACATTAAGTAAATTTGATAACAGAAAATAATAACATGAAATGACTTGTTTAGAAGCTACCCACTGGTAGCAAATGTATTTACAATAAGAGATCTCGAGGCCATCTTCTTTTCAGACGTCTCGGAGGGTTATCAGAAATAGAAGAGGAAGCAAGGTTAGAGACGAGAGGATTCGGATGGTTCTGAAGTTTATTATGGAAGGATTGGTATCTGGATTGGGCCAATTCGGAAACATATGGAACATTAAGGTCTTTATGGAAGATTTTATTTGTGACAAAGTAAGGAGAAGTGAGGATTTTCCGAAGAATTTTGGATTGTAAGGATTGGATACGAGAGGAATTCGATGGCTTAGTGGAGCCCCAAAGCTCAACTCCGTAAGTCCAAATAGGCCTTATTGTAGTCATGTATATGAGTCTTTTGTAGTTAATTGGAAGGTTAGAGCGTTTGTCTAGTAAGTGTTGGAGTAAGCGGAAACGTCGAGCTGTTTCTTGTCGTTTCAGTCTGGTATGAGGATTCCAAGTAAGACGTTTGTCCAAGTGAAGTCCAAGGTATCGGATTTGTTCAACAGGGGTAAGTGGGTTATTATTAAAGGATACTGTGGGACATGAGGTCATAGGTTTACGTCGAAGGGTAAAGGTGATTTGATGGGATGAATTAAATCTTAAAAAAATCTTGATGCTTTCTTAAACGAAATGACAGTACAACTAAAAATTATTATAATTGTATATCTGTATAAAATTATCTAATAGTTGATATATTAATGTCCTTAGATATAACAGATTGTAATATATTTCAATAAAGAATTTTTGCTAAAAAAATATAGTTGATATATATATTATTGGTATTTCAATGGGTATCTCACATATACGAACTCAAGCTTTCTCCTTGATAAAATAAACGAATGTGGTGCGGTTATCACACAATTTTCACTTTCCGTTCTATTTTGATTAGGAATTATTTTCTGGCAATTTTGGGAAATTAAAAAGTTTTTGTAAGTGCATTTTTAACGGAGCTAAACCTTATAGTTAGAATGCAACAACTCATTAAGACCATTTAAATAATACAATCTCTATTTATCGTTTCGACGGTAGGCAATAAAAACCTCGTATCGTCGTCTGTTCCACTGAGCTATATATGCCTAGAGATAAATATACAACTGTATATTTAATATATACATAATAATTATGGATCGAACTATTATTAGTTGGGAATGGAGTTACGCGATTTCCATTGCCTACCATATGAAATTGATATGTCAAAAGTTGTAAGTGAACAACTCGTATCGTTGTTCACTAATTGTAAGTGAATAATGTTGTGATTTCACATAGGAAAAAATCATCAAATTATTCACTAATTTAATTTTCTGGAACGTTACATGATTCTTCGGTGTAAAACGACTATAGATGCCTAATTATATAAATATAATATCAAATCTAGAGTTATTAAACTACAGCTAATGTATTTAAGGTTATAAACATATATTTTACAAATTCATGTAATATTAATATAATATATATGTATTATATTTAATATAATAAATTATTTGTTAAACAATTCCATTGTCTTGATTCGGTGGATTTAATAACTAAAAGTAGACTTACCTTCTTCTAAGATGGATATATCAAGTATTTCCTTGATATTAAAGTTGAATTATAACTCATTGATGTTTCAGTGATAGTAAAACATACCTATAGGTATCGGTATAGTTACAGTAACTTAAGCCCTATATATTAAAATAGAACTTACATCATTCAATAATAGATCTGTTTCGTCAAATAGCATCAACTCGTACAGTCTGATATTGAATTCCTTGCTCTGAAATTTAAAAATAACGTTTCCCAAAAACATATTTATACGAATCTAAAAAAAAAATTAAAATTAAGTAAAAATAACATAATCATTATGCAGGTTTCTTACGATTATTGTTATTATAGCGCTACAACCCATATGGGAATCTTGGCTTCCTTCAACATGCATTATAACCATCTATTATCATCTATTATATATTATCAGCATTATGACCATCTATTATATATATCTTACAATCTATGGTTAATTGGTTAGAAAATCCCACCTCTTTCATAATTATTTGAACTGTCTGTCGACTGGGAACAGGTGAAATTGGGGAGACAAGAATATTGTAGAAGTTTTAAAGGTTGGTGGAAAAGTATCTTTTATAAAAAAATCTGAATTGAAGGACCCTAAACAAAAAAAAAAAAAAATACTTTGCTGAAAATCGACAGAGAATTGACGCTCGAAACAAATACAGATAAAATGAAATATATGGTTAGCGGTAGAAATGGTTACAGTTTCGGTGAAATAGATGTAGAATAGAATACATTAGAAATTCAGGAACTCATTGAAGACTATTAGTAGAAAAAAAAACAACCATATTTTTGAGAAAATCGTTCAAAATAATGAGGGGTGCCTATCCTCCCCTAAACCTTCCCCCGCCCCTCCTAAGATATTTAATTCCTCTCTTCTTCTTAAAAACAGCGCAAACGAAAGTAGAATTTAAATATTCGTATATTATACAAGATTATACATACTGCGGTCTGTTCCATGCCTCCACTTGTCTTTTAATTTTAAACTTTTTATTTTGAAAATTCATAACGCCGCCGAAATGTGCTCCCCTCAAAAATTGAAAACCCCGTCAAAAATTGTCCCCCTCATAAATTTTGATGGCGCAGCTTGGGCCACGAAACCCCCTTCTGGGTACCTCTGAAAATAATCTAACCGACGAAGGACAAGTCTTCTTATTCGGCGTTACGCCCCACTAGTTGAGTCATAGCCTGCTCAAGCTTAGACCGCCAGTCCTCCCTGTTCCGTGCTGCTGCTTCCAGTTCATAACACCGAGCAGAGATCTCGCGTCTTCCCAGCGAAGTCTGGGGCGTCCAACCCGCCTAGTACCATACATTTGCCCAGCTAAGATCTCGTAAGGAACTTCGTTCGGATCCATCCTTATGACGTGACCAGCCCAACGAAGTCTTGATACCTTTACGAATGTTGTTACGTCTATTTCTTTGTACCTCGCTCTTAACTCAGCATTCGTTCTTCTTCTCCATGCACTTCCCTCATATATACCACCATATATACGGCGAAACACTTTTCTTTCGAAACGGATAAGGAGATGCTCTAGGGCTTTAGTTGTAGTCCAACATTCTAAGCCATATGTAAGAACTGGTCGTATAATTGTCTTATAAATTCTCACTTTCGAGGTCTTAGACAACACACTACTTCTCAAGAGTTTATCGAGGGAGAAATAGGTGCGGTTTGCGGAGAGGACCCGTCTTCGGATTTCTTCTTCAATGCAGTTATTACGGTTGATCTGGGATCGCAGGTATATGAATGATTCCACTCTTTCAAATCCATGGCAACCTATCGAGACATGACTCCCACCATGGGTAGGTAGGGTGCACATATATTTCGTTTTTTCAACATTCACCATTAGGCCCAGTCTTGCTGCAGACTCCTCTAATGCTTTAAAAGCTTCTCTTATGACGTTTATAGTCCTCCCCGCAAGATCCAAGTCATCCGCAAAACCTAAAATCTGGACTGTCTTGTTGAGAAGTGTTCCTATCACTTGGATTCTAGAGTCCCAAAGTTAAACACTGAACAGGCCAGGCCTCACACCTGTCCTCGTTGTGAATCCTCTTGGTAGCATTCCGTCCACTCTGACAAAGCATACGCTGTCCTCCATCGTCATTTTTACTAGACGAACCAGTTTGCTAGGGATGCTCATATCCACCATTGCCTTATATGCTTCTACTCTGTTCACGGAATCGTAGGCTTGTTGGAAATCAATGAACAGGTGGTGAGTATCTATCTGGTATTCCCTTGTTTTCTCCAACAGAATTCGTAGGGTAAACATTTGATCTGTCATAGATCTTCCTTTTCTGAATCCAGATTGATACTTTCCGAGCTCTTTTTCGGCAAATGGAAGCAATCTATTGAAAAGTATGATGGATAGAATTTTGTATGCGGTGGGAAGGAGAGAGATCTCTCTGTAGTTATTACATACCGATACATCTCCTTTCTTATGAATAAGACAGAACGGTGCTCCTGTGTTACGGTTTGACACATCCAAGCTCAAAAGCGAAGAGATTCAGACAAGGTTCACTGCTGCAATGGATACAAAGATTAGGACCATTGACCATAATGCAACCATTGATAATCAATGGAAAGAGTGTGAAACAAACTGTGGTAGCAAAGGGAGTAATTGGGATCGAGGAAAAGCGAAGGAGAAAACCATGGTTCGATGAAGAGTGCAGGATACTAAATGAAGAAAAAAACCATGGGCATACAGAACCATGATCCAGAAAAAAATACCAGAAGATATGTAGAGGAGTATCGTGCAAAAAGAAGAAGGGAAACTCACACACGGAGACGGAAGAAGCGACAGTGGGAAACCAAGAGGCTTGCTGAAATAGAAGCTGCTTTCAATAAAAAAATTAGGAGGGCATTCTTTCGAATGATCAATAAAGACCGCAGAGGATTCCATCCCCTGAATTATGCCTGTAGGGAAAGCGATGGCGCGCTGGTCACAGAGGAAGCTGCAATCATGGAACTATGGGCAAACCACTTCAAAAATCTATTAAATAGAGGATGTCAAGACGATACACTCCCAAGTGACTTCCTGGAAAGGGAAGATGAGGTATTTATAAAGCCTCCAGATGAAGAGGAAATACATGATGCCATTGGGGAATAAAAGAAAAACAAGGCTCCAGGAATCGATAATCCCAGCTGAGCTCTTTAAACGTAGTGAGGATGAAATAATAAAATACCTCCAAGAGTTATTGATTGATATATGGAGAGAAGAAAGACTACCTGCTCAATGGAACAAAACGGTGATTTGCCCATTCATAAGAAGGACAAGTCAACAATAGAATTTAGACGGCTACACAACTCGTGATAAATATAATTGAGGTGATAGCTTTGTGGCAAATAAGACATATATAATGTTGTTGTGCTTTATTTTATTAATTACTTTAACAGTGGCAAAAAAATTCATAAAAGATTAACATGTGCTGTTGGGCCGATTCGTAAGGCTGATAAGAGAATTGAAGAAGGCTGATAGGAGAATTGAAGAAGGCTGAGAGGAGAACTGAATAAGGCTGAGAGGAGAATTGAAGAAGGCTGATAGGAGAATGGAAGAAGGCTGATAGGAGAATTGAAGAAACCTGATAGGAGAACGGAAGAAGGTTGATAGGAGAATTGAAGAAGGCTGAGAGGAGAATTGAAAAAGGCTGAGAGGAGAATTGAAGAAGGCTGAGAGGAGAACTGAAGAAGGCTGATAGGAGAATTGAAGAAGGCTGATAGGGGAATTGAATAAGGCTGAGAGGAGAATTGAAGAAGGCTGATAGGAGAATGGAAGAAGGCTGATAGGAGAATTGAAGAAACCTGATAGGAGAACGGAAGAAGGTTGATAGGAGAATTGAATAAGGCTGATAGGAGAATTGAAGAAGGCTGAGAGGAGAACTGAACAAGGCTGATAGGAGAATTGAAGAAGGCTGATAGGGGAATTGAAGGCTGAGAGGAGAATTGAAGAAGGCTGATAGGGGAATGGAAGAAGGCTGATAGGAGAATTGAAGAAACCTGATAGGAGAATGGAAGAAGGTTGATAGGAGAATTGAATAAGGCTGAAAGGAGAATTGAAGAAGGCTGAGAGGAGAATTGAAGAAGGCTGATAGGCGAATTGAATAAGGCTCGAGGAGGCCAAGGCCTGTTCCTTCTTCAGGGCTGTAGAGCCACGGATGGTAAAAAGATCGGCAATTTCAATAATATGACTTATATTATTAAAGAATTGAAGCCTTATTCAGTAATATATACCTCAACCATAACATTGTGGGTTTTGTTCAAGACGCTGTAGACATTGAATGACAGTAAAACTATCCAGGCAGCGATCACTAAATTGGCGGCTAAATAAACTTTCTGATAAAGTTCATCCGTGCAACAATTGCAGAAAAAAAAACAGTTGGCAGCTATGCATGAGAAACATGAGAAAAAGTAGCACAGAAGTTGGAGAGAGTAAATTTCGTTGGCCATACTGACGCACTCCGACAGTCGCCTATAGATCCTGGTCAACCTGATGAAAATCCTTAATGGAGGGGGGTTGAGGTGCATAAGGCCTTCGACGTATTGGTTCAAAACGCTGAAACGAACTAAGAAGATATCCATTAAACCAACAATGTGGTCCATCCCTATCATTATATGTAAGAGAGTCCAATAGAGCAATACGGTGGAGAAGACTTCGTCCTGGAATGTTACCATATCTATTACGCAGAGAACTAAATGTGTGATTCCATAGAAACAATTGAATTTAAAAGAATCACGTGTATTCAAAACAGTAAGGTGATCGTACAGAAGAGAGTCTATGTCTTTCAGATTTTTAAGCATAACAGTCAGTCGATTTACTGAGAGCGAATAACAAATCACAGATAAAATTAAACTGAGAACCATTAAAAGAAGCTGAACATCTAAAACAGAATGAGCAAAAGTTATGCCTAGCGTATTCGCCATGGGATTTATAATTAAGAAACGAATTGCACCAAAGAACAGGAATAATAAATGGGCCACGCAAGATGTCGTCAACCAAGGAGACAGGTGGAACCCTTCCTTGTCCAGCTTCAAGGGGAAAATCAAAATCAGTCGTGAAAAGAGGAAAAGCTCCTGAAAAGACTTTTCTATACGCGACATGATGAATATTGGACCAGGGACTGGATCAGAACGTTGTAGACTGGCGTTACCATCGATCCTACTATATTACAGTTCTGTCATGTTCGTTTGAAAGGAGGATTTTGTGATTGCTATCATTAATATCAAAGAGTTATAGTCTATATGAAAATGAAGACTTTGTATTTGAAACTTGTCAGCAAGCGATAGTTGTTTTAACACCCAATGTTTTAACACGGATTTTAATGGGATGAATATAGAGATTAGATATCGACATATATGGCTGAAATCAATGTTAAAAAAATATAAGGTTTTAAAGTTATAAAGGTATCTATGAAATATTTTTATATTTCACTTCTTCTTTCACTCAAGTACAATGAAATAGTAGTTGGTACTGTTGGAATATCACAAGGGGAAGATTCATAAAATTATTCACTAATTTAATTTTCTAAAAAGTTGCATGACAATATTTCGGAATAAACGGACGTTGATACCAAATTATTTAAATATAATATCAGATCTACAATTATTAAACTGCAGTAAACGTATTTAAGGTTATAAACATGTGGCTTATACATTCATGAAATGATTTTATATTTTACTTCTTCTTTCACACAAGTACAATGAAATTGTTTTATAACAATGGTATTGCCTTGATTAGGTGGATTTTGACTACTTTTTTCAAACTTATATTTTAAAAGTTTACATTTATATGGTTAATTTCATTTAATTTCCTTTAAAACAAGTGATTTACGTTAAATATTATTAGTTTTCAAAAATTATTATTTATAATTTTTTTGCTATTGTCCGTTACCTTCTACAAGTTTCTGTATTGGATATTGTTTTTTTCTAAAATTCTCCGCTTTCCAACGATATATTATACATATACCTTCTGACAAATATTTCCGGATATTCACTTCCGGAAGGAAGTGGAGTTGTGGAAAAACGGTCCCACGCCATATACCATGTTTTATTTTGGCCAGATGTAGTCTTTTAATTATGTTCTATGTTGTTATTCTAATGGGACTTTGTCCCAGAGTAAAGTTATTCTATTCTATTATTATTATTATTATAATACCATAGCGGCCACGAGCATCTACATGTCTCTGGAACGGGCTTTGTAGTAAGGGGAAGAGCCAGGAATCTGGGAGGTAATAAATTTCGTTCCTGTAAGACCCAGGATTTGTCTTTTGCGTCTGAAAGGCAGGTTCCATAATTATACATTCCTCAGCTTCTAAGCACCCACGGAAGTGTCTCCTGATGATGAGAAGGAGGCATTCTATGACCAGTTAGACAGGACACTCGACAGTTGCCCTAAAAATGATGTAAAGATCATAATAGGAGACTTTAATGCAAAGGTTTTCAAGGAACTAGTCTTCGAACCAACTATTAGAATGCACTATCTATAACGATCAGAATGGCTGAATGCTTATAAACTTTGCTGCATAAAGGACCTGGTTGTCGGCAGCACGAACTTCCTTGGCAAAAACATCCAGAAAGGAACATGCCACTCTCCTGACGGAAGTACTGTGAACTAAATAGATCACATCCTGGTCAGTAGGAGTCACAGATTCAATCTTATTAGTTGCAGATCCAACCGAGGAGCCAATAATAGATTCCGACCACTATCTGGTGATACCTAGGATCAGAGACAGGATATCCAATGCAAGAAAAAACAGGGGAAAGAAGATAGAAAGAATAACGACATCCAGGCTTAAGGATCCAGAAGTCAGTGAACGCTACTGCCGAAGGTTGGATGAAAGGTTGACAGGTTCAGACTTGTCAGTAGGCTCTGCAGAAGAGCAGTGGAACACCTTATCCCGAATCGTTAAATAAACAGCTAAGGAAGTTGTAGGGATAGAGGGACTAGCAGATAGGTCTCCGTGGTTTGATGCGGGGTGTGCAGATGCTACGAACATAGAAAACAAAGCCTACAAAAACATGCTTCAGAAGCGGCACACGAGAAGGACCACACAGGAGTATCGAGACAGAAAGACGGAGGAGAAGAGACTATATAGACGAAAGAAGAGAGAATGGGAAATACGACAGCTAGAGGAGCTGGAGGAGCAAAGGAGACAGAATGAATCAAGGGCATTCTAGAAGGCGGTGAATGGGAGTAGGACATCATTCAAAATTAGGGTCCGATTGTGTCGGACCAAAGAAGGCTCTATGATCACAGAAAAGGAGCAGATTTTGGACCGATGGTCTAATCACTTTCATGAACTTCTAAACGAGGCTGCAGATGGTCCGGGCGATTTTGTAATCCCAAGTTCTGAGCATGACCTGGACTCCCCAGACCCACCGACATGTGAGGATGTTCTTGAAGCAGTCAACAGGCTGAACAACAACAAAGCCCCAGGAGAGGATAGAATACCTTCTGAGCTTCTCAAGCATGGTGGCGAGAAATTCCAGAGAACCCTCTACGACATCACCCTCGCCATCTGGATGGAATTATCGTGGGATCTCACTTTTTCAGTGTGCATATAAGATCCTCTCAAACATTATCTGCTGCAAACTCCTCCCGTTTTCTGAGAGAGAGTTCGGTAAGTATCAGACAGGGTTCAGAGGAGGTTCAGACAGTTGAACAGATGTTTAGCCTCAGTATGATACTGGAAAAGTCTCAAGAGTACAGGATGATGACCCATCACCTGTTCATTAACTTCCGGAGTGCATATGACAGCATCAAGAGACCTCAATTATATGCCGCTCTGCGTGACCTTAGAGTTTCCCCGAAACCTGTCCGCCTCATCAAGATGACTATAGATGATGCTAGGTGCACCGTTCGGGTACAATCGGACCTGTCACCTGGATTTGTTTCCACACGAGGAATTAGGCAGGGGGGTGGGCTTGCCTGCCTGTTGTTTAACCTGGCCCTGGAGAAGGTGATGCGTGACTCGGAAATCCAGACTACCGACACCATCTTAAACAGATTAACGCGTATAGTCACGAGTTCGCATCCCGGTGCTGAGGGAGTTTTTTAAATCCCCGCCCATACTGCTTGGCCCGGGAAAACCCTGTATAGCTTTAACGACGAGGAAAGGGAGGACCCAAAAAAAAAAACAAACAGATTAACGCAAATACTGGAATTTGCTGACGATCTCGATCTAATGGCGCGTTCCTTCAAGTCTCTTAAAGCTGCATTTTTAAGGTTGGCTGAAGCGGCAGAAGCTTTGGGAATGAGTGTGAATCGGGAAAAGATAATGTATATGCGAGCAGGACCTGAAGCCGAGACCGCAGTAAGAGTACCAGTGGTTATGGACCCATTTACGTTCAATGTATGCACTTTATCTATCTGGAAGCTATTGTAAGATGTGGAAATAGAATATCCCTTGAGGTCAACCAGCGAATAATAAGGGCAAACAGGTGCTATTTTGGCCTCAGCAAACACCTTAGAAGCTCTTCCACCTCCCGTCTTACAAAGTGCCTCTTATATAAGACATTCATTAAGCCTGTTCTCACATATGGATCGGAAAACTGGACCCTCTATAGCAAAGAAGAAAAAGATTTACTAATCTTTGAAAGGAAGATCCTTCGGCGTATCTTTGGACCTGTTAAGGTCGGTGATGATTAGAGAAAGAGGACTAACAGGAACCTATATGATCTGTGTAATTTTTTGACGCCTTTAAAAACAATAAATATACAGAAACTCCTCAAAGGTTTTAGTTTTATATCTCTAGTTCTATTTTTAAATTGTCACTTGTCTTTTAATTTTAAACTTTTCATTTTTAAAATTCATAACCCCATCGAAATGTGCTCCCCTCAAAAATTGAAAACCTCGTCAAAAAATGTCCCCCTCATAAACTTGCGACATGAAACCTGCTTCTGGACACATCTGAAAATAATAGAACCGAGTCAACAATCGAATTTAGACGGCTACATAACTCTAAATTGCGTGAATTGTACTTGATAGATATAATTGAGGTGATAGCTTTGTGGCAAATAATAGACATATATAATGTGTTGGTCTTTATTTTATTAACTACTTTAACAGTGGCGAAATAATTCCTAAAAGGTTAACATGTGCTATTGGGCCGATTAGTATAGACCGAAACGGAGATGAGAGGATTCCGTGAGTGCTAATTTTGGGAAGTTGAGTTTGAAGAGTAGTCGATGTATAGAAGAATGGTCAGCGCATTATTAGTGGTATCGGCACCAAACCTTATGAAACTAGGCGTTCAACCCAAGGTTCACGTAACCTTTTATTATTATAACTGTGTATTATAATATCATCTATATCTAGTACAAGAAATAAATTACACAGATAATAGTAAATTATATCACTTAAAAATGTATTACATTTAATTTTATAAAGCACAACTTCTCAAAAACCTATGATTTTCACACATTTAGTGAGTAGTTTTTAAGTAAAAGTTAGAATCGCAGCAGGCAACTGATGTATTTTTGCATTATGAAAAACATTGCAGATTTGGAACCATACGGGAATCAAAGCCAATCATTTATAAAACAATTTTGAGACCAATTATCACTTACGCAGGTGAAACGTGAGTTCCGTCTCAGGAATCGGTAAGGATCTGGGAAAGGAAGGTCCTATGAATTATATACTGAGGCAGGATGTAAAGCTGTCTAATGGAAGATAGTAAATAACATTGAACTTTCTGAACTATAGCTTCAGTTGACACTTACGAAGGATGGCAGAAGATAGATACAAAACCAAAAGCAGGAAAAGGAAGTCCAGATTAAGATGGAACGATGATGTGGAGGATGAATTTTAGAGGATAGCAATCGGACAAAGGAGAAGGAAATATAGGATATAGGAGGAGATAGGAGAATTGATGAAGGCTGATAGGAGAATTGAAGAAGGCTGATAGGAGAATTGAAGAAACCTGATAGGAGAATTGAAGAAGGCTGGTAGGAGAATTGAAGAAGACTGATAGGAGAATTGATGAAGGCTGGTAGGAGACTTGAAGAAGGCTGAGAGGAGAATTGAAGAAGGCTCGAGGAGGCCAAGGCCCTTCTTCAGGGCTGTAGAGCCACGGATGGTAAAAAGATCGGCAATTTCAATAATATGACTTACATTATAAAAAAATAATATATACCTCAACCATAACATTGTGGGTCTTATTCAAGACGCTGTAGACATTGAATGACAGTAAAACTATCCAGGCAGCCATCAATAAATTTTCGGCTAAATAAACTTTCTGATGAACTTTATCCGTGCAGCAATTGCAAAAATAATAACAGTCGGCAGCTATGCATAAAAAATATGAGAAAAAGTAACACAGAAGTTGGAGAGAGTAAATTTCGTTGGCCATGCTGACGCACTCCGACAGTCGCCTATAGATCCTGGTCAACCTGATGAAAATCCTTAATGGAGGGGGGTTGAGGTGCACCAGGCCTTCGACGTATTGGTTCAAAACTCTGAAACGAACTAAGAAGATATCCATCAAACCAACAATGTGGTCCATTCCAACCATTATAAGTAAGAAAGTCCAATAGAGCAATACGGTGGAGAAGACTTCGTCCTGGAATGTTACCATATCTATTACGCAGAGAACTAAATGGGTGATTCCATAGAAACAATTGAATTTGAAAGAATCACGTGTATTCAAAACATTAAGGTGATCGTACAGAAGAGAGTCTATGTCTTTCAGATTTTTAAGCATAACAGTCAGTCGATTTAATGAAAGCGAATAACAAAGCACAGATAAAATTAAACTGAGAACCATTAAAAGAAGCTGAACATTTAAAACATAATAAACAAAAGGTATGTATAGCGCATCAACCATGGGATTTATAATTATGAAACGAATTGCACCAAAGAACAGGAATACTAAATGGGCCACACAAGATGTCGTCAACCAAGGAGACAGGTGGAACCCTTCCTTGTCCAGCTTCAAGGGGAAAATCAAAATCAGTCGTGAAAAGAGGAAAAGCTCCTGAAAAGACTTTTCTATACGCGACATGATGAATATTGGACCAGGGACTGGATCAGAACGTTGTAGACTGGCGTTACCATCGATCCTACAATATTACAGTTCTGTCATGTTCGTTTGAAAGGAGGTTTTTTGTGATTGCTATTATTAATATCAAAGTGTTATAGTCTATATGAAAATGAAGACTTTGTATTTGAAACTTGTCAGCAAGCGATAGTTGTTTTAACACCCAATGTTTTAACACGGATTTTAATGGGATGAATATAGAGATTAGATATCGACATATATGGCTGAAATCAATGTTAAAAGAATATAAGGTTTTTAAGTTATAAACGTATCTATGAAATATTTTTATATTTCACTTCTTCTTTCACACAAGTACAATGAAATAGTAGTTGGTACTGTTGGAATATCACAAAGGGAAGATTCATAAAATTATTCACTAATTTTTTATTTATATTTTATTTTATGCAATTTGCACCTTCGGAGCTGCGCATCTAGCAAATTTGTTGTGTTTTTATTGTCTTGGTGTAATTGCTTGATATTTTTTTTATGTTGATGTTTTTATTGATGTAGTAGGTCTCTTGGCCATTTTCTTCTTAATCTTCGTTGCTCAGGTAACAGGGAGCAGGAGATAGAAAGAACCAGAGGATTGGAGTGATTTTGGGTTGAAGAATGAAATGTAGTGTATTTGTCGTGGATGTAGGATTTTACTGTTGGGGTGTTTAATTCGTTATGTATAGTAGTGTTTGAAATGTACCAAGGTGCGTTAACAATTTTTCGTAAAATTTTTGATTGTGCTGTTTGTATTTTGTTTATGTGTGTTTGTTTTGCTGAACCCCAAAGTTCTGCTCCATATGTCCATATTGGTCTCAGTAAGGTGTTGTAGATAAGTCGCTTGTTTCGTAAGTTAAGTGAAGATCTGTAGTCCAGAAGATGTGAAAGTTGGCTATATCGTCTAGTAAGTTCTTGTCTTTTTAATTTCGTATGTATGTTCCAAGTAAGTCTTTTGTCTAAGTCGAGTCCAAGGTACCGTACATAGTTCTTTGAAGGCACTGGATTATTGGCAATCGTTATGGGTGGACATGAGGCTTTCCTAAGAGAGAAACTAATGTGGGTGGATTTTGTACTATTAATTTTGATTCTCCAGTTTTCAAACCACTTCTCAAGATCATGAAGATGGTTTTGTAGGGCAATTGATGCGATAGTAGGATTTTTGTGTGAAGTTAGAATAGCAGTGTCGTCAGCGAATCAATAAATGGTGGTATCAGGGTGCTCAGGAATATCAGAAGTGTATATAGAATAGAGGATTGGGCTTAACACGCTACCTTGTGGTACGCCTTTGTGTTGGGGAAAGAAGGAAGATACCGAAGAATCTACGGAAGTACCGAAAAATCTATTAAGAAAGTAGGATTGAAGAATTAAAAAATAAGTGGAAGGGAAGTGCGGTTTTAGTTTCTATAATAGGCCCTTGTGCAAGACTCTACCAAACGCTTTCTCTATGTCGAGAAAGACGGCTGAGCAATATTCCTTTTTTTCAAAAGTCACAGAGATAGCATCTACTATCCGATGGCACTGTTGCACAGTAGAGTGATAACAGCGAAAGCCAAACTGGTGATTTGGTATCACTTCATTATATTCTAGAATAGGCTTTAGAAGGTTTAGTAATAGTTTTTCAAATATTTTCCCCATTATTAGAAGAAGTGCTATAGAACGATAGGATGAAGGAGAAGTGGTAGGTTTTGAAGGTTTGGGAATCATTTTGATTGTGGAGAGTTTCCAAAGGAGAGGAAAATAGGTAGTGCGTAAAATGGAGTTATAGATGTGTGTAAGAAAGAAAACAGCTTTTCGAGGTAGGTGTCGAAGAATAAAGGGAGTGATTAGATCATAGCCAGGAGCTTTTTTGTTTGGTAGTCTGTTGATTTCTTTGTAAATTTCTTTTGGATGAAATGCCGGAGGGGGTAGTGATAAGGGTAGTGGTGTTGTCAATTCTTCTTCTATTGCGCTAGTGAAATTATTGTCCTGTATTGTGTTAGTCCCAAATACTTGTGCAAGATATTTAGTGAATTCATTGGCTTTTTCTTCGCTTGTTATGGCCCAAGTGTTGTCTGTACATCGGAGGTCTTGAACGTCGGACGTATTGAAGGTCTCTTTTCTTTAGTATAAGTCTTGTTGTTGTCCATATTGATCCATTTCTATTGTTTATTGTGTCTATATAGTCTTTATAGCTGTCATTTTTAAATTTTAATAGTTTTTCGTGAAGTTTTCTAGTTAGTTTGTTGAGTTCTTTTTGTATGATGGATATCTAGTTCTTTGCCATAGGGCTCTAATCCTACGTTTTTCTTTTATAAGATTATATATTGGCTGAGGTAGGTAAGAAACTGGTTTAGTATATGTCTTTGGTGGTCTCGATGAATGCCAAATAGCCTCTTGTATAATTTTTGTTAGGTCGTTGACTGCATTGTCGAGGTCGTCAGCTGTACTAATTAAAGTGTTTAACGTAATTTTGTTGTTCAAAAAATTTTTAAAGTCGTCCCAGTTTATATAACCGTTAATTAATGTCGGGGGTTTGGGTTTAACGGAAGGGTTTTTCGAAAGTTCAAGTAAAATTGGGCTATGATCAGATGAAAGGTCAAGGAGAGAGGAAACGTTGGAACGTGCATGTGGTAAGGAGCTAGTGACAAAGAAATCAAGAAGATCGGGAGACTTTGATATTGAAGTAGCCAGTAAGTAGGTTGAGATAGCGAAATTACAGAAAATTTCAAATCTTCGATACATTTTTGTAGTCTTTTTCCGCGAGTATTGGACACTCTGGATCCCCACCTTGTGTTTTTAGCGTTAAAATCTCCTCCTACAATGAATGATTTTCCCATTGTCGAGATCACTAATTTAATTTTCTAAAAAGTTGCATGACAATATTTTGGAATAAACGGACGTTGATACCAAATTATTTAAATATAATATCAGATTTAGAATTATTAAACTGCAGTAAACGTATTTAAGCTTATAAACATATGCTTTATACATCCATGAAATGATTTTATATTTCACTTTTTCTTTCACACAAGTACGGTGAAATAGTTTTTTAAACAATGCCATTGCCTTGATTAGGTGGATTTCGCCTACTTTTTTCAAACTTGAAAATATTTTAAAAGTTAACATTTATATGGTAAATTTCAATTAATTTCCTTGAAAACGTGTGATCTACGTTAAATATTATTAGTTTTCAAAAATTATTATTTATATTTTTTTTTGCTATTCTCCGTTACCTTCTAAAAGTGTCTATATAAGATATTGTTTTTTCGAAAATTCTCTGCTTTCCAACGATATATTATACGTATACCTTCTGACAAGTATTTCCGGATATTCATTTTCGATCTTAATAAGCATTTTTTTTTCTCCTTTATTCAATTATCAAACGTTATATTTATCATTTTTTCGTAACTCTAAATAATGTGAAATGATTAATTAGTTAAAATAAACCATATTAAAGGTACTTTATATAAAAACGTATACGAACATTGGGCATTTAAGCCCTGTAAAGTGACATCAATGAGGATAAGAACTGATTGATATTAAATAACGCATCATTATTCAATGATACACCGAGTTTAATCAAAATCGTTAGAGCCGTTTTTGAGAAAATTGTAAACATGTGTTTCAGTGTTGATATAAAGTGGCACTTTCAGTTAGCGGATTTTAAGGAAAAAGTTCACATCTAAGGCATATACACATCTTAAATAAGTAATATCAGTTTCGTATGATTAGCTAGGCTGCTAACATACACACACACACACACACACACACACACACATACCATTTCGCGGGACTTCAAAACGTGTATTTCCGTTGAAAATTCAGATTCGGAAATTTTCACTATCCCAATAGTTTCTCTTACCATGTATTCCATATAAAGGTAAGTGAAAGTAAAAAACCTGCACCACTACAACCCATGAAGTGTCTTGGTTTCAGGTATGTGAGGAAGTACTGTTACAAGGCCGATGGTTGTGCAGGGAGGTGATTGGGCCGATGTCACGCTCAGTTTAATTATTTTATTAAGAGTACTCACTTTATAGAGGCTGGATGTGCCCCAGGAGGGTCTCCCAACACCATGGTCGATTCACGGCCATCAGCCGGACTTGAACCTGGATCTTGAGACCTGGAAGTCAGTGCTCACCCACTGAGCTACTCTGCTCTCTTACGTAATTTTTAAGGATGAAGTAATTGACTAACTCATTTTTAAATAGAAGAAATACGAAACTGAGAATGAAAAGCAGAAGAGAATACATTTTTTTTTAAGAAGAAGCAGATGATCGAGGAACATAACGACTATCATAAGAGTGGACGAGGGACCTTACACATGAAGATGAGTCGATTTGGAGGTATGGTAAATATCTTTAATCTCATTTAAATGTTGTCTTTTAATTTTAAACTTTTCATTTTGAAAATTCATAACCCCATCTAAATGTGCTCTACTCAAAAATTAAAAACCCCGTCAAAAAATGTCTCCATATATAATGTTGTTCGGCTTTATTTTATTAATTACTTTAATAGTGGCGAAATAATTCATAAAAGATTAACATGTGCTATTAGGCCGATTCGTAAGTATCTAAGCTGTAGACCGAAGCGAAGATGCGAGTATTCCGTTAGGGCTAATTTTGTGGAGTTCAGTTTAGAGAGTAGTCGATGGACAGAACAATGATTAGCGCATTATAAGCACAACTTCTCAAAAACGTTGGATTTCCACACATTTAGTGAGTAGTTTCTAAGTAAAAGTTAGTATAGCAGCAGCCAACTGATGTATTTTTGCATTATGAAAACATTGCAGATTTGGAACCAAACGGGAATCAAAGGTAATCATTTATAAAACAATTTTGAGACCAATTATCACTTACGCAAGTGAAACGTGAGTTCCGTCTCAGGAATCGGATAGGATCCGGGAAAGGAAGGTCCTATGAATTATATACTAAGGCAGGATGTAAAGCTGGTTAATGGAAGATAGTAAATAACATTGAACTTCCTGAACTATACGAGCCTTTCAGTTGACACTTAGAAAGGATGGGAGAAGATAGATACAAAACCAAAAGCAGGAAAAGGAAGTCCAGATTAAGATGGAACGATGATGTGGAGGATGAACTTGAGAGGATAGGAATCGGACAAAGAAGAAGGCTGAGAGAAGAATTGAAGAAGGCTGATAGGAGAATTGAAGAAGGCTGAGAGGAGAAGTGAAGAAGGCTGAGAGGAGCATTGAAGAAGGCTGAGAAGAGAATTGAAGAAGCCTTGTCGAGGAGGCCAAGGCCCTACCAGGGCTGTAGAGCCACGGATGATAAAAAAATAAATGCATCGACAATTTCAATAATATAACTTACATTATAAAAAAATAATATATACCTCAACCATAACATTATGGCTTTTGCTCAAGACGCTATAGACATTGAATGATAGTAAAAACGTACATGCAGCGATCATAAAATTTACGGCTAAATTAAGATTAACTTCATAAGCCCAAGAATTGAAAAAATAAAAACAGTGGGTAGCTATGCATATGAAATGTGAGAAAAAGTAACATAGAAGTTGGAGAGAGTAAATTTCGTTGGCCATACTGACGCACTCCGACAGTCGCCTATAGATCTTGGTCAACCTGATCAAAATCCTTAATGGAGGGGGGTTGAGGTGCACCAGGCCTTCGACGTATTGGTTCAAAACTCTGAAACGAACTAAGAAGATATCCATCAAACCAACAAAGTGGTCCGTCGCAATCATTATAAGTAAGAGAGTCCAATAGAGCAATATGGTGGAGAAGACTTCGTCCTGGAATGTTACCATATCTATTAAGCAGAGAACTAAATAGGTGATTCCAAAGAAACAATTGAATTTAAAAGAATCACGTGTATTCAAAACATTAAAGTAATCGTAGAAAAGAGAGTCTATGTCTTTCAGATTTTTAAGCATAACAGTCAGTCGATTTATTGAGAGCGAATAACAAATCACAGATAAAATTAAATTGAGAACCACTAAAAGAAGCTGGACATTTAAAACATAACCAGCAAAAGGTATGCCTACCGTATCCAGAAGATTTATAACTGAGCAACGAATTGCACCAAAGAGCAAAAATAATAAATGGGTCACGCAAGATGTCGTCAACCAAGGAGAAAGGTGGAACCCCTCCTTGTCCAGCTTCAAGGGGAAAATCAAAATCAGTCGTGAAAAGAGGAAAAGCTCTTGAAAAGACTTTTCTATACGCGACATGATGAGTATTGGACCTGGGACTGGATCAGAACGTTGTAGACATGCGTTACCATCGATCATACAATATTACAGTTCTGTCATGTTCGTTTGAAAGGAAGCTTTTTTGATTGCTATTATTACAAGCAATGAGGTATAGTCTATATGAAAATGAAGACTTTCAAAAAAGCTGTCAGCAATCGATAGTTATAAACAAATTTTTTTCGAATGATTTAACAAGCATTTTAATGGGATGAATATAGAGATTAGACATTGGCATATATGACCGAAATCAATATTATAGAAATATATCACAGCCGAATCAAGTTCAAATTTTCCGTTTACTTTCAATAATTGCCGACAAATAAGAAAAAATATATATTAAACATTTACATTCGAGTGCCGCCACCAATTTACAAATCTCACAATCAATTGAGATTTAATTAAGGCATATATTTTTAGTTCCTGCTACTGCTTGCGCGGTGCCCATGGAAAAATTTAATTGATTTAAGGTAAACTTATACGTAGCCGATACGTGTAGCTGAGTTAGGCTTTGAATTCAATGCAATGTTTCTAACCAACGGAAGCAATAGAAGAAGAACTGACAATTTTAGGTTTCAAAGCTCGCTAGGTAACAAATGTTGTGAATGAGTTCATTTATCAATATAATTATTGTCTCCGTGAAAGAATATTATATGTCTAAATAAATAAATTTAAAAAAAAATTTAACAATCTAGTATCATCTCATGATTTCATAATAAATAAATAATTAGACGGGCATTAACAAATTACATAATTTATAGTTGATAAAATTTAATTTCAATAATATGAAATAACAGAACTAATATATACCTCAATCATAACATTGTGAGTATTATACAAGACGCTGTATAAATTGTAAGGTAGTAAAAACATCCAGGAACCCAACACGAAATTTATGCCGAAATTTCGATAAATGTCAGATTTCGAGGAATAGAACAAATAAAAACAGTTGGCTGCTAAGCCTACAAAATATGAGAAAAAGTAACTGAGAAGTTGGACAGAATAAATTCCATTAGCCATTAGGACGCACTCCGAAAGTCACCTGCAGATCTTGGTCAGTCTGATGAGAATTCTCAATGGAGGATACCTGCGTTGCATCAGTTCTTCGACGTGTTGGTTTAAAATTGTGAAATGAACTAAGAAAACATCCATAAATCCGACGAAGTGGTACATTCTAATCAGGATGAGGAACAAGGTCCAATAGAGTAGTATGGTCGAGAATACTTCGTCCTGGAATGATAGTATGTCAATTATGCTGGCAACTAAAACGGAGAATCCAAAGAAACAATCGAATTTAAAAGAATCGCGAATTTTAGAAATATTAAGGTAGTCGTACAAAAGAGAGTCTATATCTTTGAGATCTCGATGGATAACAGTCAGACGATTCGTTGATGACAAATTGCAAATCAAAGACAAAAATAAACTAAGGACCATCAAAAGAAGCTGGATACTTACAATGGCATCAGCCAAAGGTACACCCAATGTGTTCATGGGATTTCTAATCAAACAACGGATGGCACCGAAGAGCAAAAATAATGAATGGGCCAAGCAACATGTCGTCAACCAAGGAGAACGATAAAACCCCTTCTTGTCCAGCTTCAAGGGGAAAATTAAAAGGAGTTGAGAAATGATGAAAAGCTTCTTGACCGACTTTTCTACACGTGGCATGATGAGTATTGAACCTGAGACCTAACGAGACAGTGGTAACTCGATCCTATCCTGCCTCGATCCTGCAGGTAAGATCGATCCTATATAGTTATAGCTCTGTCACGTTCATTTGAAAGGATGCTTTTAGTGATGGTTATTATTACAAGTAAATAGGTACAGTCTATAATAAAATGAAGACTTTTAGTCTCAACTTTACAAACTATCGATATGACATTGCATTTAAGGAAGATGGAAAATGAATGTAATTGTTAAAATAGCCGAGATAGAAGATTGGAAGTTGAAACCTGTCAACAATCTATATTTATAAGAACTATTTGTTTTTTGTTTTTCTCCCGGTGGTTTATGATGGATTTTAATGGGATTAATATAAAGATTAGATATCGACATATATGAATGAAATTAATATTAAGGAAACATTTCACAGCCGTATCAAATTCAAATTTCCCGAATACATACGATAACTATAGCCAAATAAGAAAATAAAATGTATTATATCTTAGCGAACTTCGAGTGCCGCAATAAATTTACAAATCTTATCAATCTATTGTGTTTGAGGAGATTTAATTAAGCCATTTGACACTGAGTGGTTCAGCAGTCTTTATACCAAACTTATCAGCAAGACTGTGAACAACTTTTTCATCGGGTGATTCAAATTCAAAGGGTAAGTCATAGTAGTGCAATTATTCATTTTATTATGTAAATATATATACATACACATTTATAAGTATATATGTGTTCAAATTTACAGGAATGAAGTATTTAATTATATTTTTATTTGCTGCTGCCGCTAGTGCGGTGCCCATGGAAGAATGGAATTTATTTAAGGTAAGCTTATAATCAGATAAGTACAGCTGAATTAGTATTTGAATTTTGAATGCAATTTGATAAATTTACAAGGATATAATTATTGACTAAATTATCACACATAACAAAGGCAAAATACGGAAAGAGATACAAAACTGAGGATGAAGAACAGAAGAGAATGGAAATATTTCTGAAGAAGAAGCAGATGATCGAGGAACACAACGAGAAATACAAGAATGGACGAGAGACTTTCCACATGAAGATGAATCGATTTGGAGATATGGTAAATATCTTTAATATAATTTAAATGTTGATTTTTAAATTTTGATTAACTTGAATTAATTTCCTTGCAGACGGAGGAGGAGTTGAGTGAAAATTTATATAGATCATACGAAAGTAACCAAAGGGATAACCAAAGTAATGTTTTTGTTAAATCAAGAAGACTTAACCAACTTCCGGACAGTATTGATTGGAGAATGAAAGGGGCAGTGAGTCCCGTACGAGATCAAGGGAATTGCTGGTCGTCTTGGGCTTTCAGTGCTGTATGTATTATTAAATTTACACTCATGATATTATATTAACAAAAATAAGAAAAAAAATTATCCAAGGCCAACGGTTGTTCAGGAAGATGATTGGGCCGAAATCAGACTCAACCGTCACGTTTCCTCCTTAATTGGTTACTTAATTAAGGTTACCCAGTTTACAGAGTCTAGTTACCTCCCAACTACAGGGTCGATCCGCGACTGATGTAACAAAATAAATAATTATCTACAAACAGCCGGACTCCTTGGACATAAGTATTCAGTGCCCAAACCACTGATCGTACCCATCCCCACATTTTATTATATATATATATATATATATATATATATATATATATATATATATACATATATATATATATATATATATAAGTTAAGCGTCGGCGGGCTTTGAAAATAAAAAAAAAAGAAGGAAAAAGGATCGAGAAACAATACTCACGGCTTCTGATAAAACACTGCTTTATTCGTTCAATAATCTGCCTTATATACAATTGTTATGTTTATTTACATTACAAGATGGTATTAAGGCTGATATCGCCAGTCTCCGGTCTTTATCTCCCCCCCACCAGTTTACGAATAGGATTTTCGGAAACTTATAAATTCCTAGATCGGAGCCACCGGTATCAGCCTTAACCCTTTACAATTATTCGTACCAATATAAACTTAAAATACACCAAAACTCACTTCCACTCCGCTGGAACGAGAAATAAATAAAAAGAAATAAAACACAGAAAGTAAACACACAACGTCTTATTAACAATGGAACAGAACTCTTAATCCTATAAAAATTACAATCGCCTCTACTGTGTTGCTATATCTTTATTTACAAGAACAACAAAACAAAAAAAAATGACATCATCAACAATAAAAAAAACATATTTCTTATAATACGCGATAAGGGTACTACGAATCAATTGGTTTATGTACCGGTTCTAACATTGGGAGCTTCAATTGTTCAATATGAACAGTTCTCCTCTTCTTAGGTTCGTTAATGCTTTCAATGGTTAGCAGATTATGCTCCCTAATGGCAACCACTCTGAATGGGCCCTCGTACCGTAACAATTGTTTCCCTCTGTTGGTTCCAATTCTACGGTACACTATTGTTCCGATTTTTAATTCTCCCATTCGGTCACGTACCTGCACATTCTGCCGCGCTACCCGCTTCTCCTTTTCCCGCTGAATTCTCCCCGTTACCTTTCCCCACGTCTTTTCTACCTCTACCCTAGTACTCTGGATTTGCTCTACGAGATGTTCATTGGTCGTTGTTTCCCCCCAATCTCTCCTTGGCCTGCGCATCCCGAATAGTATTTCCACAGGTGAAAACCCCGTTACGGAGTGGATCGAATGGTTATAAGCTGTTACGGCTTTCTTCATCGCAACATCCGGCTCCAACCCTTTCTCTCCCTGATATACACGGATGTGGTCACTCAACGTGCTGTGCAATCGTTCGATTCCTCCTCTACTCTTAGGGTGTCCCGGTGTGTTATAATGCCACACAACCTCTAACCTTTTCACCTCCTCCCTAATCGCGGTATTGTCGAACTCTCTGCCCCCGTCTGATGTGATCCTCTCGGGAACTCCGTAAAACTGTATCCAGATTTGTAGGGCTTCCGCAACTGCATTGGCAGACTTGTCCATGACCTGATGTGCCATGGCTACTTTACTAAAGGTGTCGATGATCGTGACCCACTTGAACCCTTTCCAGGTGAATGTATCAATCTGGAGGTCTTGTAGCGGCATATTCCCTGTAGGTGTCTCTTCCTGAACTCCTCTGGGGGGGTGTCGATCATACTTTGTGCGCATACATACCTCGCATTTCCCGATGATTCCTTGGATAGATTTTTTCATTCCCCACCAGAAATACTTTCGCCGTAATGCCTGCAACGTCTCGTTGACGCCTCGGTGGTTGGTCTTCCCCTGGTGGTATGCCAATGTGACTGCTTGTTGTTGCTCCTCATCCTGTACGGTTTCCACTGCATACTTGCACCGGATGATCGTTCTATCCATGCCTATTCGCTCGGATCTCCACATCCGCTTTATTTTCTCCCATACCGTGTTGTTCCCAACATAGAGATGGTGTGTCTTTCCCGGTTCCGTGGCGTCCTTCAGTGCCGTACGGATTTGCTCCTCGCTCACCCCGGGTTGCGACCAAATGACGCGAATCCTACTTTTCCCGTATCTTCGGTAATCTATTTTCATGATCCCTGTTGTCCTTGTTTTCCAGATTACCTGTCTATGCTTGTCGTTGATGATTTCGTCTATTTCCTCCATCTCCGCTGGTCTTTCCTCCGCTGAGCTATCTTCTTCCGGGGACCCCTCCCTGTCCTCTATACTGACGGTATCATCTGCCCCTTCACCCTCAGGAGTCCATTCCCTCAAGAATTGGCGCACGTCCCGCGATGGACCTCCCCCATCCTCTTCTACCGCGTTGATCATGATGGCCCTAGAGAGCCAGTCTGCCACCACGTTTTCCTTTCCCGGCTTATACACCACCTCCATGTTGTACTGACTAAGGAATTCTTTCCATCTCGTGACCCTCGCAGAGGTTTCCTTAAGTTTTCCTACCCACTGAAGGGGTTTGTGATCGGTGTGGACTCGAAACTTCCTCCCAAATATGTATGGCCTGAAATGGTCGATGGCCCACACTATCGCGAGTAGCTCCCTCTCTAACGCGCTGTACCGTGATTCCGCGCTCGTAAGTCGTCGGCTCGCGTATGCTATCGGACGTTCACCCTCACTTCTGCCCTGGGACAAAACGGCCCCCAACGCGTATTCGCTCGCATCGGTGGTGATGTTGAACTGCTTCTCAAAATCCGGGAACGCCAATACGGGGTCTGCCTGCAACCTATCCATGCATTTCCGAATATTATTTTCCATTTCTGGTGTCACCACGATTCTCGCGCCTTTCTTCAGCAAGTTATTGATAGGTACCAAGTATTCTGCCATCTCAGGTACGAATCTTCTATAATAATTCAGCGTCCCGAGAAGCCTACGAATCCCTTTAACGTCCCGTGGCACCGCCATTCGTGTGATTGCCTCTACCTTTGCCGCATCCGGTCTGACCCCCTCGCTAGAAATAGTGTGGCCTAAAAAATTGATCCGCGTTTGTCCCAACAGGGACTTCTCGCTTGACAGTTTCAGCCCGAATTGTCGCAGCCTTTCGAATACCGACCTCAAATGCCCCACGTGTTCGGCTTCCGTTCTGCTAAAAATCAGCAGGTCATCCATATATACTTGACATACGGAGTCGTCGATACCCCTCAAAAATTCGTCCATCAGGCGTTGAAACGTTATGGGCGCATTCTTCAGACCAAACGGCATTCTGGTGAATTCGTAATGCCCCCTTTCGAATGTAAACGCCGTTTTATGTTGATCCTTCGGGTGCATCCGTATTTGGTGATATCCCGCCTTGAGGTCCAACGTGCTAAACACCACAGCCCCACTCAACCTATCGAGTATATCTTCGAATCTGGGGATCGGGTACTTTTCGTCTACCGTGTTGTCGTTCAACTTACGATAGTCCACTACCACTCTGTATTTTTCCTTATTATCCCCCGGCGCTGCCTTCTTTTTCACCGCCCACAGGGGACTATTAAATGGCGAGGTGCTATCGACTATGATCCCTTGCTCCTTTAGGCTTTCCAATTCCTCCCGAATATGCTGCCTCAGCGCCTGCGGGTATCTCCTTTCCTTTACGTAGGTTACCCTATCTTGCTTCAGTGGAACTTCGTGTACCGTCTTCCCTGTTACCCCCAATACCTCGCCCTCCCTGAAGAAAATATCTACGAACTCCGCTTGTAACGCCTTTCTCCAGTCCTCCACCCTGTTCACCGCTCCTATCCGCACCCTTCTTTCTCTCGCGACCCCTATACATCCAAATTTCCTCTTTCCCAGCCTAATACTCCAAGCTCCTCTACGGTTTCTAATGCTTACCCCTACCTGTCCTAACAGATCACACCCTATTATGACTTGGTACTCCCGTGTCATGCTCTCTACCACATGCACCTTTAGCTCACCCTTTTTCCCTGCCCACCGATCAAGCGTAATTGTCGCTTCCCCTTCTACCTTACAGGGACCACCCAGAGTGATTAGCTGGCAGCCACAGTTTTGTATCCGGAGTACCCTCTCGCTCCCGCACACTTTCCCCAACGCCCCCCGAGTCAAGATAGTACTCGAGCTCCCTGTGTCCACGAGACACTTCACTCCCCCGTCTACTTCAATAATCGGCAACCAGCATGGCTTACCTCTAATACTGTTGCAGGTTGCTGTGCGGTCGCCTCTCTGCTGACACCCTCCTCAGATGCCGCCTCGCTTCCTCCTTACCGCCGTCGCTCGTCGCTGCTCGCTCTGTTGGCTGCTCCTGCCTCCTTCGCCTCCACTGCTGGCTGGTTCATCAGTCTCCGTTCCCGACGTCCCCGACTCCTCGGTTGCCTCTTCCGAAGATCCGTCTCTCTGCTGCATCCTAGCTCGTCTTTTCAGCTTTTGAGCGTTCACCTCCATTGGCTCGTCTACAGGTCTCTCTCTCCTGCGAAACATGTAGGGGCACTGTCTGGCAATATGCCCTTCGGTCCCGCATTCGAAACATCTAGTGCGCGGACATTGTGCTACCAAATGTCCTGGTTTCCCGCACCCGTGACATTTTCTGTCTTCCCTCCGGGGTCCATTCCTAGGCCTGGACTGTCCGGATCTTCTCTCGCCCGTCGTGGCTTTTTCTCCGTTCGGGTGTTTCATTTCCCTCTTCTTCCACCCTATCTGGGCTGTCCGGGGTCGTCTGTCACTCACTCGGGTCCACCCTGGTTCCTCTACTTCCATCCGAGTCTCTTCCTCTCTTGCACTCAGATCTATCATTTCTTGGGCACACTCGAGGAACGATCGCTCTCTAGGCAGTCCGTCCCTCCTCCCAGTCTCCTTAGCCAACTGAACCTTGAGTATTGTCGAAAGGAATTCCATCCTAGCTTCGACCTCTCCCACACTCATGGTTTCACGCATTTTCTCAGTTA